TCGCCGCAGCACGCAGTGTTGCCAGGTCTGGTGGCAAATTCAACACATCTGGTGATTGGTGAAAAACATTAAAAAATGGCAATTTCTGGTGATTTTCAAGATGTCAAACATTTTTTTCGGTTACAACTAGCTTAATTCCTGGTGATGGGATGCATGATGATTAGGTCAAAAGCTACGACATCGAATCCGGGCGTCACGCGCCCTGTTGGTAATCCTTGATGTTTGTTTATAAATCAGATTTGAGAAAGAAAAACCTAAATCACATATTACTATAGCAATACAAAAAAAGTGTCGTTTTCCTGAAAATTTTCTTCCGGTGTCGCACGAGTTTACAACCAGACCATTTGCAGGACCGTTGAGGTGGGAATCTAGACTGCCCGAAAGTTGCAAACTGAGTGAGAAATTGACAACAATTTTTACTTGAACGGCACAAACTTCATTTTTTTTCAAATGAACGAATACGATACAGATTTGTAGCATATGTTATACTTTTTGGTCATTAAATGGAAGTCATCTTTATTTCTGGTATTATGTAAATGATGGTCGACATTTGATGATGTTAAATTAGTTAGACTTGATGGGAATATATTATTTTTTACTTTATAAATGAATATCATTACAAGATATTTAATAACATTTTTTACATTGAGCCATTTTAATTTGCTAAGCATTTGCCTAATTGGAGTATATTTATCTTTATTTAGTATTATTCTCATGCACTTATTTTGTAAAATTTGCAGACTTTCAAAAATGGAATTATTTGCTAAATATAGAATAGTCGAACAGTACAAGAAATTTGGAAGAATGATGGTATTATAGATAATTTTTCTGCTACGAGTATATGAACTCAGACATCCAGAAACTCTCGATAAATATCCCACTTTACTACTAATCTTATTTATAACTTTTTCATAATGAATATCAAAAATTAATCGAGAGTCAACAAAAACCCCCAGGTATTTAAAATTTTCTACGAATTCAATATCTTCACCATCAATATTCAGTTGAACATTTGTACATTGTTTTTTTCCGATTAACAAGGCTTTCGTATTACTTGCATTTAATTTTAGTCTGTTAGATGCTAACCATTTTGAGACAAGCTTCAACTCTTCATTTATATAAGAGATACCAGACTGAATATTTTTTTTCTCCAATTCTCAGTTACCAACTGGAAAGCCGTTTCTGTGGAATATTTTTTTCGAAAGCCTGCTCGCGCCTCCAATAAAATTTTGTTTTCTTCTATAAACTGCATTAATTGGTCATGCACTGTGGACTCTAATAATTTTTCAATGTCTGGTAACACATTTACTGGTCTCATATCGCTGCATCTTTTAGAATTTTTTATTTTGGGAACTGGTGTTATTGTAGAGCATTTCAAATTTTCAGGGAAAGAACTGCTTCTCAGTGAACAATTGATCCAATTTAATACATTTCGAAACAGTTTTTCAGCACGTTTTTAGTAGTGATTTCGGCACAGTTGTTATTTGATTTTAAACTGTTTACCGTTTTTCTTAGATAATTCGATGATACGCTGTCAAATTTTGAAAGTGTACTGCAAAAAAGGAAAGTCGCATCTTTTACGGGAATAATATTTTCTTGCACCTACCTTTTGCCTATGTTGTTTGACATGATCTTGTACTTTGTCCAGCACCATTTTCTCAGTCAAAATGCCGTCTGGTGAAGCGTACGCCGCAGCCTGCCAAGCTACTCCTAACTTAGCAATTTCCCTGCCAGACATCCCTTCTGTCATTTGAGCAATTTTAGAACAGATGGCACTGTAGTCGAAGTTGTCCACCTTCAGCCTCCTGAAATACGAATAATTTCGGGTTTGTCAGATCAGCCTACTTTGCGGACCTCCAGAAAAAGTATTCGGAGGCGGAGCATCGCTGGGTCAAGTGTATTAGCTAAAAGGAGACTACGTTGAGAAATCAACCGCCGCTTTTCCAAAATTTTGTTTTTCTTATGTATGGTCAGTACTTATCGCACCACCCTCGTAATTAATGGAAAGCGGCTGGTTTGGTTCAAAGAGCGGGGAGATGCTTTACATCCTCAACAAACTGTCAAAGTAAAAATCCCCCAGATTTGGGAAAAATCCCGAAAGACGGCAACGCTGTCAAAGCACCACTGTTACTCCATGCGACAAGTTACGGGGTCGTTTTTAACAGCATTGCCATATTTTCCCCTGGTGCGTTTATGAAGTCACCTAACTTAACCTAACCGCGAGTTAAGTTAGATTAAATTGTGTTAGGTTAAATTAAGTGACCAGGGTATTAGGTTAGGTTGATTTTACAAGCGCTCGAGAATATAGTCGTAAGTAAGGTAAAAAGCACAGGATACAAACATTGTAGAAATAGAAGCATCACCTACCTTTTGCCTTCCGCTGCAGGTTCCAGAACGAATTTCTGGAAGTACATTCTGATCAATCGTTCTCGCTCTTCTAAGCCGGGCAACTGGAATTCCACCATTTCGTCCAATCTGTCATTCACGGCCCAATCGAACTGTTCGGGTGTGTTCGATGCTAGTACCAGCATAAATTTGTTACTCTGCTCTCCCGTACGGTATAAGAACGCATTTAGCGTAGCTCGCAAGTCTTCCGAAATGTTTCCGAAGAACGCTTCCTCAAAAAGGCGTCTGCTTCGTCGACGAATAACAGCAGACCTACAAAGAATGCAAAATAGAGATCATGAAGGCCTATCACCTTACCTAGTTCCTCAAATCCAACGTAATTAAGAAATGCCTTATTGATGATATACTAATAAATGTATAAATGTACTAAAATTTAAAATATATCGATTTGTGTATGTTGCATTATATTTGTGTTATCAATAAATATATTGTGCACTTGGGAGACTTCAGTATAAATTTTGATAATCAAGATTTTTTTATACAAATATTTAAACAGACAGGTGCTGAAGTTTCATGTTTATGGCAAAAAGTTATGTCTACTTAGAAGTACAAACTTTTCACGAACTAAGATAGATTTAATAATAACCAATGGGCAAGGTAGTAAACTAGGTCCACTACTATTTATTTTATACATTAATGACATTTGTAATATTTTTGATTATTCTAAACTTCAGATATTTGCAGATGACACATTAATATACATATCAGATGAAAATATAGAGACTGCTTTAAAAATGCTAAATTCTCGTAAATTGGTTAAATGTAAATAAACTAAAATTGAATACTTCTAAAACAAAATGTATGCTAATAGGGAAATACCTAAATGAAAATACTATCACAGTTAGGATAAATGGAGAAATGATTGAAAATGTTGAATCAATTAAATATTTAGGTATATATATATATAACTTGAGACGTGGTCATTGTCGTCTAAACCAGTTAGGTGAAAAATTAAAGCTTCCGCCTTTTGTTGGGTACTTCGACAAAATTTAAGCAAAGAGGACTCTTTATACTTTTTTTAATTCTCTCTAGCTTTCAATGGACTTTGCCATCATCATCAGGAGCTGCAATTACAATGATAACAGTAGCAACAAAAGTGTAAAATGAATTTAAATTGAATCAACTTACAGTAGTATGTGAGGATGTTGCTAATTGTTGTTTTCGTATAGGATGAGGGAAACGTCCAGTAACATGGTGAGAGCTGGATACATGGTACAATGGTTAAAATTATATAAAATATGACAAGACAAGTTAAAGACAGATTAAAAATTATTTAGAAAACATTAGAGCATTACGTCGTGAAGCCACTTGATGATTGCAAAAATGGTGGTCATGGAATAATGAGTGAGGTGAACCCTTTGACAGAAGGCCGAAGGTTGTCAATGTCTGTGTAGAAAGATGGAACGAATTGTGGGCGTGTGCCAACGTTGCCAAATCACTTCAGATAATGTGATTTTCAGAATGTTATGTAAGAAATTGTTAAACCGACCAGAGGCAGTTAATAAACTATATTTTAATTAATGGGAAATTAAATTAACAATTATTATTAAATCGTGAGAAGAGAATTATTAGATTTTGAGTGGAATGAAATTTACTGGTGGAATCGACCAAGATACAGATTCTATTTATGGTTGTGAAGAGTCAAAATTTGGGGAGATATGCAAGTTCTCCAATTTTTCGCAGTTTAGCAAATATGAGTAAATGACACTCAGTTGTTTAACATCTGTCTTTTTGTTGATACAGTTGTTATTCATGAAATGTGGGACATTTCCAGGAATAATATACAGTGAAAGCTCCCCTTGCGGACAGCTCCTATAAGCGGACATCTCTTTTAACCGGACAAAGTTCCTGGAACCGAATTTCAGCCATCAATTTTCAATGTTAAATGCATTCCGATAAACGGACGCTCTTATAAACGGACGCGGACACTAGATTTTCCTGTATGTGATCAAAAAATCTCCCATAAGCGGACGCGAAACTCTAATACCCGGACGATTTTTTAGTTCCGCTTATTGCAATGCACATATCTACATACATAAAATTCGGTAATTCCTCGATTTATATTAGGTGATTCCCCATTTACGCATTTCGTTGGGTAGCCTGTATGTAATCTTGTGGCTTGTCTTCAGTTCAGGCAAATTCGTAGTTGATTGAGTTACGTATTTTATTATTGTAACTGTAAAATGGCACCAAAAAAAAGGATGCTCTCGTTAAAGGAAAAGATGGAAGTTGTTAACGTATTAGACAGAGAAAGTGTTTCAGTTCGTCATTTGGCAAAGAGGTTTAATATTGGGAAAACGCAAGCAGCTGAAATTGCCAAAAATAAGGAAGATATCAGGAGTAAATGGCAATCAGGAACTAATATAAATCAAAAGAAGGATTTTTTAAAAAAGGAAGGTTTTGCTATAGACAAAACATGTTTTGAGTGGTTTGTGAAAGCTAGAAGTCAGAACATTCCAATCTCAGGGCCGTTAGTGAAAATGAAAGCTAAAGAAATCGCCACTACTTTGGGCTATAATAATTTCAGTGCGTCCGACGGGTGGCTGCAAAAGTGGCGCAAGAGACATAGTGTGAGTTTCAAATGCATATCTGGCGAAGCTGCTGCAGTAGATCAAGTTGATGTGTCACAATTTTTGGAGAAACTTCCGTCCATGTTGCTTGGCTACAAACCAGAAGATGTGTACAACGCAGATGAGAGTGGACTTTTTTTTCGCGCATTGCCCGACAAAACTCTGTCCTTTAAAGGAGAAACATGTGTGGGTGGAAAGTTGTCTAAAGATAGACTAACCATTTTATTCTGTGCAAATATGGCCGGTGAAAAATGCGATTTGATTGTGATCGGGAAAGCGGCTCGTCCCCGTGCTTTAAAAAACGTTGCTATTAAGGATCTACCAGCGACTTGGAAATCCAACAAAAAGGCATGGATGACCCGAGAAATCATGTTTGAGTGGTTAGTCGAATTCGACCGGAAAATGAGAATCCAAAAAAGGCAAGTTCTTTTATTTTTAGACAATGCATGCTCTCATCCTCGTGATATGAAAATGAAAAATGTGAAAATTATATTTTTACCGCCAAACACAACTTCTGTTTGTCAGCCTATGGATCAAGGTGTCATACAGAACTTTAAATTTTATTATCGGCACTTGATTTTAAAACATATTTTAACAAAAATTGACGATGGTCAAAGCTTATCTGAGCTTACAAAGTCTATCAATGTCTTAGAAGCTTTGTATTTTATAAAAACAGCATGGAATAAAGTAAATTCCTCTACAATTAAAAACTGTTTTGGCAAAGCTGGATTCAGAAAAAGTGAATGTAGCTCAGAATTTGCTGAGCAAAATTATTGCGATGCTGAAGACGATCTGCCCTTAGCGACACTTGCTCAGTTACTGCGACATGCCAAACATTTAAGAGTAGCAGATCCCCAGAAAGTAGATGATTTCCTGGCCATAGACAATAACATAATAACAGAAGAAAATGCCATTGGCAACTTTTCGAATTTGGATGTAGAAAGCCCAGGCAAACTTGAATATGGTAGTCCAAACGACTCAGAAGAAGAAGTGGAACTGGTGGACTCACTAAGCGGTTCAAAAACGATAAATTCATATGGGGAAGCTCTAAATCATATTTCTATATTGAAAAAATTTGCTAAAGATGATTTCACTGCATTTCAACATTTGAAAAATTTAGAAAGTTATTACGAAAATTGTCTCCTTCAGCAAAAGATGGTGAAATTTCGTCAGACAAACATTTTAAACTTTTTTCAACAAGCTAAAGAATAATGTTTTTTTTAAATTCTCGTACCATGTATTGAAGCATTTATGTTTTTGTATGCGTATATGTACATATATTATATAGATATATAGCATAAATACATACTTTAAAAATGTGGCGAGTTTCTGTTTCACTTTTCTCATGATTATAATACCTCATTTCCTCATGATTATATACCCCGTTATTTATACTCTATACTTACATACTCTCTTTTAAACGGACACCTCCCATAAGCGGACAAAAGTTACGGAACCGTGAGTGTCCGCTTATGGGAGCTTTCACTGTATATATATATAGATAGTAAACTAAAGTTTGAGGATCACTATGAATACATTATTTCAAAAATTGCCAAAAAAACAAATTACTTTTATAGGGCTTCACATAGTCTTGATACCTATTCTACAAAATAGTTTATAATACAGTTATTCTACCGCATTTACTATATTGTTCAACTATCTTGTTCACTGCCAAAATCTATGTTACAAGAATTGCAGTGGTTGAATATAAAAAATTTCATATTTGGTTCTTATTTTTATATTTAAAATAAAAAATCATCTTTTGCCAGAACATTTAGAACACTACATAGGATTGAATAATCATTACCACAATTATTATACAAGAGGAAATATAGATTTTCATTTACAAAATTGCATAATATAACTAGCAAATCAATATTTCAGAAAGGATTACTTGAATTCAATAAACTAAATAGCAATATAAAGTCTACTTGTAATTTAAAGATATTTAAAAGAAAATTAAAGAAATATTTCATGGACAATGAAAATTATTAGAGATGCAAATTTTGTTTCTTTTTCTGTATGTCTGTATGTTATGTAATTGTATAGTTTTTTAGCAGAATGTAATTGTAGCAATGCTAAATAAATCTTAAACAAACAAACAAACAAAGACACTGCAAAATTTTTTTTCTCCCAGTAAAAAGGAATGAATTATCAAGAATGTGCTTGGAAGATGGTATAGGAATATAAAATAAAATGTATGCTTTTAGGAAAATCTTTAGATGAAAATGAGGCGCACTATGAATATACACCTATCAATTCAAAAATATTCAAAAGATAAATTACTTTTATACAATTTCGCATAGGCTAAGCATTTAATCTAAAAAAAATTGTGTACAAAACTATCATTCTTCCTCATTTGTTATATTGTTCTATTTTGTTCACTGCAAACGAAACTGTATTTTCAAAATTACAAATATAAAATAAGGCTATGAGAATCGTCTCAAATAAAAATAAATATAAATGAATAAATTTTATGCTGAAAAAATCATATTCTACTAAATCACTTAGAAAATTTATAGACTTTCACTTACAAAATTGTACTAGCAATATAACAAATCAGTATTTAAAAAAAATTTATGAATTTAATAAATTATGTATTGATATCAAGATGTGCCAGATGGAAAATGTTTAAGTGGAAATTAAAAAAATGCATAGTAGTGAAATTTTGTATAAACATATGTAGTCTTGAAGACATAATACATAGTCGTGCCATAAGTTCTGTCCCATGATAATCTCATGATAAAAATGAAACAAGATAAGATATATTTATATGAAAGATATTATTTATTCGACAACATTTTTAGAATTCATAATCAAACAGTTTTATTCAAAATGTCCCCCCTTGGCCTTCACACACTGCTTCAATCTCGCGGGCCACTCATCTATCACTGCACGCACAGCTTCCAAAGGAATAGCTGCCGCTGATCGGATCAAATCCGCTTTCAGGGACTCGATATTACGGTGGGCTTTGGAGCAGGCCAACTGCTCTAGCAGGTCCCACAACTTGTAGTCTAAAGGATTGAGGTCCGGACTCCCTGAGGGCCAATCTTCCGCAGCAATGAACTCTGGCACATTGCTTTCCAGCCAGCGCTGCGTACTCTTAGCCTTGTGAGCGGGGGCGGAATCCTGCTGGTAGACCCAGTGTTGGTTGGCAAACAATGTACCACTTAAAGGCTTGACGATAGGATCCAGTATGTCGCTCTGATAGTTTGCCGCTTTTGTTTTCACGCCCTGTTTACAGAAATGGAGCTGAGTGACCCCTTCGTAGGACACCCCCCACCAAACCATGACTGACGCAGGGTGGTGGCCTCTCTCAACTCTCGGAATGATCTCCGAAGCTTCCTGTGAACTCCTTGCATACACTTTGTCATTTTGTCGGTTGAATTTTTCTTCTATGGTGAAGATTTTCTCATCCGTGAACAAAATCTTTCGGAATCCCCCAGCTGCGTACCTCTCCAAGAGCTTCTTGGATCTTGTCGCCCTGATGTGTCGCAAGGTGGCCGTAAGTCGCTGGCCCGTACGTCTCCGGTAAGCCCCTAGCCTAGGTCTTGTTTAATGATGCGCGACATCGTCCGGACAGGAATCTTCATTTCCCTGGATAGGATCTTCTGCTTCCGGAGTGGATTCCTTTGAATCCTGGCTTTTACGGCTTTGATGGCTGCTGGAGTCCTTACTTGACGAGGTCTTCCGCTTCTTGGCCTGTCATCAACAGAGGACGTCTCATTGTACCGCTGAATGGTCCTAGACACAAATTTACGCGATATTTGAAGGCCGCGTAAGAGTTCAAAAATCTGACTAGCACTGTGATTACACTTATGTAAAGCTATCACTGCAATACGGTTCTCTGCCTTGCCCCACTCCATCGTTATGCTTCGAGAGATCAATACAAACTGAGGTATATGTAATTACCCGAAAAGCGCTTAATCAACTGACACCACAATGTAAACAATCGGACAAGTATTAACAGGTCTACACTTGTTTGAAAACGAGGGACAGAACTTATGGCATGACTACGTATATTATATACTGTGTAACATTGATATTGTAGCATTATTGCTAAATAAATCTACAACAAACATACCCTTTCCAGAACCATTCGCCCAGTCAAATACTTTGTGAACTGCTGTAACGCCTTCTTTGCCCATTGGTGCTATATCACCACCAGTCAAAATTGCATAGTCCATTCCCGAGTGTTTTGCCAATTTCTGTAATTATTAAACTAATATAGTAAAATGCGTATTTTCAAAAGTAACATTCACGAAAAAGTGCATTTCAGGATCTCATTCATATTAAAACCATGCACGCTTCAAAATCTTTGAGGATATTAATGTCAACAGTGCAGATAAAAAAGTATATCACCCAGTGGCGGCTCGTGCCAATTCAGTGAGGTAGTGCCAGAATGGAAGCCATAATTTTGAATCGATTCAAAATTGTAAAGAATAACTTATAACTTACCCCTGATAGTTAGTGGTCAAAGTTCTTGAGGTTCAATAAATCTATATGTCCAAAAAAAAAATCAAAAATAAAACTATTTACACACGCGCACCAAATTATAAAACAAGTGTGGAGAATTACCTATAACTTCAAAGTTTTCTATACATGAAGTCCATTCTTCTTTCTTTTTTGGTAGCAAAGTTTTCGATTACCTTATTATTAAAATTTTCAATGCCACTAACAAAGCCTTTCTTCCTTCATTGTGTTTCTGAGGAAAGTTTTAATCCGTTTCAGCATTGAAAAAGAGCGTTCTGCTTCAGATGTTGACATCGGTATAGTGATTAAAATACTTAAGAGCTTAAGAGTTTCTTGAAACGTACAATTTAATCCTTCCTCGTTCAATAAAATGGATAGTGGAACAGCTCCAGAAGTAGTACTCAATTCTTCTCTCTGATATAATACTTGTAACTCAGTTTTAAGCCTGTTTTTGTCTAAAAATGAAAATTGTGTGCATGTGTCATTTAAATGTGCTTCAGGAAACTGATGTTTATAAACAGAAAACTTTTCAGACATAAATAAATTAGAAGCAACTAAATGTCCAGAAAAGTTAAATCTTGTTCTTATTTGCGATAATACTGCATCGCATATTTCTAACGCTTCCCGTTTTTTGCTGCCTTCTTCAACTTGCCTTTTTTTTCTTGGCGGTTCATCAGTTTCTCTCTGCACTCGTTCAATCTCGTCAATAATGCTATCCATTTGTTCTCGTATAGTTTGAATTGCTGCTTCAAAATTCTCTAAATCATTTTTGACCTTAACAGAATCGGTGCATACTTTTTGTAATTGGTTAAAGACAATTTCAACATGTGGCATTATTTTATGGAATATACTTAGCCAAAATACAAAATTTGTATCTTGCAGCTTTAATTTGTACCCACTGGCTTGATTAATCGACGAAGAATCGCGTGAAGTACTTTCTATATTGTCCATAACTTCAATCAGGTCTTTCCTATTTTCATAAACTGTATGAACACCTCGTCACTGAAAATTCCAACGTGTTTGGGAAGATCTTGGCAATCTGCAATTAACTATTTCATCCAAAATTTTTGTTCTTTGAGGAGACGTCGAAAAAAAAGAGCACAATCCAGATAAATTATGGAAAAATATTCTAGCCTGCTTATTGACAGAGCATGCGCTTGTCATAATTAGATTTAACTGGTGTGCATAGCAATGAACATAATTTGCAAGTGGATAAGTTTCCTTAATAATTTTTTGAACGCCATTCAATTCACCACTCATAACAGACGCACCATCATAGCTTTGAGCTATTAATTTGTTTGGATTTTGATCTAGTAATGGATTTACAACATTTAAAACGCATGCAGCGATTGATTTGGCATCGTGTCCGTCGGGGACGTAAAATCTCCAAAATCTCTCAACTGGTTGTCCTTTACACAAATATCTGAAAATAATAACTAACTGAAATTCACAGGCTACGTCAGTCGTTTCATCGGCAATTACTGCAACAAAAGGAGAATTTGCAATCTCCTTCTTAACTTCTTCATGATAAACATCTAGCATGCACTCAAGAAGCTCGTTTTGAGTTGTTTTTGAGGTACCCTTGAAAAGTTTGGCACTTTGAATATGGACTTTCAATTCGTTGTCTAATTCGGCGCTAAAATTCACCAGCTCCTTAAATATGCCTCTGTTTTCCGAATTTTCTTTTCATCGTGACCCCTTAAGGCTAACTCAAATGCTCCACAAAACCTTATACAATTAATAATTTTATTCAATACATATCGATTCTTATCCACTTGATTATTATGTTTAATTAGATCATTGCGATAAGCCGAATTGAGTTGAGTCCTTATATTTAATTTACCAAGAATAGAAAAGCTAAAAACATTATTCATATGGACTTTAGATTTTTCGTGGGTCTTCATTTTATCCCATATATGTATAAGATCGTCTGTACCTTTTTTTGACCAAGTCTCGTCACCTCCAAATAGAACACATACAAAACAAAATAGTTTATTCGTTTCTTCACAACCATATCCAGCTGTTTTTATCGTACACATTTTTATTAAATTTGCGACAGCGCGATTTTTGTCCGCTACCACTTTGTTTCTCAATTTTTAAATCGGGTATTGGCCGTCCTAATTCTTTAATTTGCAGTTTTTGATCCAGCGAAAAACCACTAAATGAGTTTTTTAATATCCCGATTTTATTCATTTTCACTAGTTTTAATAAAACAGTAAAAAATATGATCACAAAACAGAGCAGTTCATTAACACTAGACTTACTAAAACAAAAAAGGTATTTTTCACTTTTCAGGTAAAAAAAGACCGAAATCAGCACTAGACGTAATCATAACGAAACGACCGACCGAACAAAAACACCGCCGATATCACTTGATAACGAATTACGACTGATGATGTGCCTGGCACAAATTATACTTGTCTTTCGCTATTCACCTCATATAAAAATGTGTATTGTAGCGTTATCTCTGTCGCTCGTATGCGATGCTAGTAAAATTTCTCTCTTTTTATTTGGGCCGGCCCAAAATTGGCACAAGTTGATGACGTCAAGGTCAAGGCGTGCTTTCCGTATCGCGTGGTTCGGGTGCTTGCGGTGTTGTCACGTTGTCAGTGTTGTCACTTCATATAATTTATACCAAAAAAAAAAATGAAAAAGCAGAAAATAAAGTAAAACATTGAAGATTGAAAAAAATATTCTTTTTGAAGAAGACAAGGTAGTGCCATGGCACCGTGGCACTACCTCACGAGCCGCCACTGATATCACCACTGATTGTGACCTATCTATTTCACATTCGACCTCATGGATGAAAGCTCTTGAATTCTTTATCTTTTAGTAATCAACTTTGTGTGTACAGCCTTACTCAAAACATACCTTAGCAAACATAGTCTTTCCTGTGCCAGGCGGTCCATGCATAAGGATATTCCTGTACATTCCCTTGTTTTGTTTGGTATTTTTTGTGGCTATCGCTACATCCCTTAACCGTTCCTCCAATTTCGGTGCCAGAACTACGCCGGATAAGGCGTCCTGTTCCGGTTGCTTCAATTTCTTGACGGTCTCGATCGGATGCTTCACTGCTTCCAGTAGCGAGAAACGGGAAGTTTCACGAACTAACGATGGCTTTCCTATAATACAAAATTTCAAATAGTATTAAAAAAAGATCAGGTGAAGAGAAGCATAAATGGTGCCAGATAATTTGAAAAACAGTTCATACCTAAGCGAGATTCTACGTATCTAGCTGCAACAGTGGTTCCTCCTTTTGCAGAATATACGCCAAGGGCAAGCAATGTCAAGCCACCTGCAGCCGTCAGTACTTTATTCCAATCATTCAACATTGCCTGTGCTCCAGTGCCTATCACTGATCCGGCAGTCCTGTAAAACAGGGAGAATTATCAATCTATAAAAACACATTTAATGCCAACTCATTGTGGAACGGTCTTAGTTATGTGAAATTAGTGAGAGTCTATCAAATACATGAACAGCTTGGCATTCGGGAACTATCTGAATTATCTTCAAAATCGTGGAAAGTATGGACGTTTTCGGTATTTCAGTAAATAATGTCTCAATTTCGGTAGAAATGTCGAAAAATCGGTAGGTTTGGCAACACTGCTTGATAGTAGGACGATGATAGGCCGCGCTGTTGCCGGCTTGACGCTGAAGATTTTCGTAATTGGCGCGAGAATCGATTGCAAAATCGACGATGTTGGTGGAGAATCTTTTCAAGAAAAATATAATGTAATGTAAAAATTACCTTGACAGACCTGAATTGTGCGACGTGCGCTCACCCCCAGACGTATTCCAATCATCAATTATGTACTCTCAAAAGTGCCCCCCCCCCCCCTGACTTCGACAACTTCCCGACAATGGATCCTAATGATAAGTTAAGCGCGTTAAAAATGATGAATTAATAAGTTAACCTCTGAATACACGCGAAGTCCTTGCAAAATGCGGTTATCAACATCTTAGATTTTTCATTGCATGATGCCTGCAAAGTTTTTGGGATATCAATAATTGTGCTTACTTTATACTTTCCAAAACGGTGATTCTGTTTTGTTCAGCCTTGAGTCTAATTTGCTCTAAAATCAAATCTCTATTCTCCCTGTCTGCTTTTGCCTTAGCTTTTGTTTCAGCTTCAACTCGCTTCATTTCGTTTTTATGTCTCAGATCCATCTCGTGTTCTATGGTAGCTTTTCTCATCGCCTCTTGTTTTGCGACAGACTCTTCTTGTCTCCTCAAATTTTCCTCGTTCATTCTTTGTTGCTGCGCCAATTGGTCGTCGTACCTCTTTCTCGCCAACTGGTCTTGGTACTGTGCGCGAGCTTGATGTTGTCTCGTTTCTTCTTGTAATAATTTCCGTTTTTCTTCAGCTTCAGCCCTCTTGGCCTCGATCTGCATTTGAGCGATTGAAGCTTCGTATTCTTTGATCCTCGCCTGTTGTTCTACCTGGCGCGTGACCTCCTGCTGTTTTGACAATTCTAGTGCGTCTTTGGCGTGTTCTGCAAGAGAAAAAATCAAAGGTGACCAGCGGTGCAAACATGGTCGGAGTTTGCTGGGGGCACACTTATTGCAAGCTTCCTAATTACACTTATAAAACTATAAAACATTATGGAATTGGTGAGTAAAATTTTGTATTGACAATCATCTATAAATAAACTCTCAATCAAAATTCAAAAAGTACACCTTTATTGCCCATTTCAGTCAACGTGCTTTCTATAAGGCAGCCCTGGGATAATGCTGATGATATCTCACTCTAGAGCAGATAATATTAATTTGCATCTTCCAGCGAAAACGGAAAATCAACATATTTATGCAATAATCTCTACATTAATGTCACAGATTTACGGAGGTTGATCTTAAGTCAAAATATAAACACTGAAATCCTCCTAGATTGAGATTTGGATTAGTCTTCATCAATATTCAAATTAAATCCAATTTCAGAAAGTGTGTGGGCAACTACACATCAAAACAAATGCCACTTGTGATCTGGCCAACAATTAGAAGTAAGCACAATCCACTATGTATAAAGGCCACATATTTAGGAGTACAGAGAAACCTAGATCAATGTTTGTAATACAAGAACTTTCCCAAGATTCTGATGTCAGTGAGGTTCCAGTACCAACAGAAGCTATTCCAAATTGTAGTAAAGCTATTACCCTGACCAAGCAACTCAAAAAATTTGTTAAAAACCAGGGAGATTTCTAAATTTCAAAATGCCATTTCAAAGAAAGAGAGAAGACAAACAATAGTACACGAATTTTTGCATCCTTAAATTGGCTTTTTATTTCATTGTTTTGAGTTACTACATATATATGAGCAGTAGTCATTACCATTGTCAATGACCAGTAGAACAAGAAATATACTAAGTGACACCCAGTTTAAATGGTTTTATTTTAATAAAATTTTGTATAAGTACTTAATGAAGCATAATAAGTAAATGATAAAAATTTCAAAATGATTGCACTGCTTTAAAGCCCTTTGACCTTTAATAATGTGTGGATGCACCCTGATGTGCTACGCATTCTCCAACGCGCCTAGGCATGCTTCTGATCAGGTGGTCAATGTCCTCGTGTGGTATCTCATTCCAGGCAACCACCAACTCCTCTCGAAGTGCTTCTAGAGTCTGAGGAGGACGTTGTAAATTGAGCAATCTCCTACCCATCATATCCCACACGTGCTCAATTGGGGATAAGTCGTGAGATCTTGGTGGCCATGGTAACAATGTGACATCATTATGTTGAAAGAAGTCTATTGTGACTCTTGCAACATGTGGTCGGGCATTATCTTCTTGGAAAGTTGGATCTGCCAGGGTGTCAAGATAGGGTAAAAGATGGGGTTCTAGAACTTCGTGGATATAACGCTGCGCGTTCATGTTACCTCTGATGACCTGGAACCATAAGCTATAGCACCCCAAACCATAACTCCACCAGTGTGATGAACATGTCTTTCAACAAAAAACTGTGGATTCCTCCTTTCACCACGTCGTCTTCTAACCCTGGCACGACCATCGTGCATGCCTAAACAAAATCGAGACTCGTCACTAAAGACAATACTGTTCCATTCCTGATCCCACAGTGACCGTTGTCTGCACCACTCAAGGCGATTACGTCGGTGTTCTCGAGTTAAAGGGAGGACCCAGTGTGGCCGGTATGAAAACAAGCCAAAACTTCTCATTCGTCGGTAAACACTTCGCATGCCAATAGGTCTTCCGTGTTCTGCAAACCATTCATTTGCAATGGACCTGGTAGTGGAGAAACGGTCCCTTAAGGCCAATAATCTTAGGCGGCGATCTTCACGGTCTGTTGTTCTACGGCGGCGTCCAGTGCCCCTTGCTCTTTGCGTACGGCCTTCTTGAAGCCATGCCTGACAACACCTAACCACAGTGTCTACACTTCTTTGCACTCTAACTGCAATTGCCCGAAAAGAAAGTCCGGCTTCCCGAAGTCCCACTATACGGCCCCTATCAAACTCACTAAGTTGACGAAATCGTACAGGTCTCCGTAAGTACTCTATGCATCGTAACCGATCGTAAAGGATGTCAAGAACCAAAATCCGCCAACGTTGATTCTTTACTGCGGCTGAAATATTCATTTTTAGAGCGTTAGTGAATTAAAAAAAAGCAGTATAAAAACCGGAATGTCCAACTGATAAGGCTGAAAATTTTTTCACTTGTTATAAGATAAATACATTCACCAACTTTTATTAAAATAAAACCATTTAAACTGGGTGTTCGGATTTATATGTCACTTAGTATACAATCAATTGTTAATTGGGAAATTGTCAAAATTTTTTTACTCTTGGTGTTTCAACCATTTGGCTGCAACCTCAGCGACGAGTAAGTTGTCTGATAATTTAAACCCTTCCCACATTGGTTGCCAGTTTCATATTTGTGTTTTCAGCTCCTGAAGATGGCTCCATAGAGAAGCCAAAAGCTCGAGATTACTGCTAAAAGAGTTTACTAAAGTCTAAAAAAAATTTTGCCTATATATATATATATATATACATATGTACATTCGTATTATATTATACATAAGGATGTACAGATGTAAATATATGTTTTAAATATCCCAGTTTCCTTAAAATACTAATATTCAGTTTTTATGAAAAACACAATTTTTGTTGTATTTATTTTCCCAATGGTGTCCATCCATAGGGGACTTCACTGTATATGTGCCCATAGGGTAAAAATGACAAAGGCAAGCACCACTAATTATATATTCTACAATGATTTTTATTTTAATACTATTATACAAATACAGTAATGGACAGATTTTCACTGGGGTTTATATTGGAAGACTGTGGAGGCCATTTGAGAACTGGTATTTTTTCATCCAGAAAGAATTGCTTTGCAAGATTTGAAGTGTGCTTTGGGTCATTATCTTGCTGGAAGATTGATCTTAATGGCATGTTGTCTTCGATATAGGGTAACATGATATGCTTTAGTATGTCTGTGTATACAAACTTATCCATAATGCCATCTATTCTATGTAAAGGTCCCATCCCAAACCCCGAAAGGCACCCCCAAACCATAACAGACCTGCCTCCATGTTTGACAGTGGGCAAAGTGTACTTGGGGTTCAATCTTTGTTCATTCGGACGTCTAATGTAGTGAACACCATCTGATCCAAACATATTGAACTTGGATTCGTCACTGAAACATACCATCTTCCAGTCACGACGTGCAAATAACTTCAAATCATTTAATCTTCTACTTATAGTTTTCATAGATACACTGACAATTCCTTTTGTCTCGATTTCAGCTTTTATTTGTCTTGGGGTTTTAAATGGATCTTTGGACGAAATTACTTTTATTAATCTAACTGACCTAGCATTTAGTTTTCTAGGCCGACCACTTCTCTTAGAAGCTTCTAAGATACCTTTTTGTTTATATTTGTTCAATATTGCCAAAACTGCTTTACGCTTCAGCTTCAAATATTTTGGCAATGTCGACTTGATGTTGACCATCTTCATATAACTCAATGATCTTAGTTTTCACATCGAAAGAAATTTCTGGACCCCGTGGCATGGTCTTAAAATCACTCAACTTATTCCACAATACTTGATAAACACAAACTAATCCTCTTCTGACAAGAAACTGTACTAAACTAATGTTGAAAAGAATTTGTCTACATATTTTTGTCCCTCATAAAAAAAGTGCTTATATTCAGACTTGTATTGTGTTCCTTGCAGATAATGTAAAAACAAGGAATTTAGTTTTTCTACTAATAACGCATCTGTTTATGGAGCAATGAAGTATGCATTCGTTTTTTAAAGGTATTTAGGTAACTATTCATATTTGTCTATATACTTTTGTCCATTACTGTATATGATGAATAAAAAATATCTTTTGCTAAGTAGTGACACTATTTTTAAGCAATTGACTATCAATATACAGGAAGCCAAATGTATAATGGACATTATGTAAGGCAGCAGCAGCTGATTCTTGGATATATAAGCTGCCCCTTTGCATCCAACATTTGAAACATAAAAATAGTTTTTTCTTTTGCAAAGGTTTAGTGCCCTACATCAAACTAATTTCTTGGACAGACTGTTTTTTGGCCTTGCACGTTGCAATAGTCTAGAACCCTCTGCCTAGCATTGATGAAAATTACCCCATCTATTATATGAAATCTTGGATATGCCTCAGCAAAATGATATAGCATAGTAACCTAATATTTAAAGTGCTAAATTGGGCCCTACGATTGAAAATAGTTTTCCTCTATGATTACTCGAATGTGATACAAAAATGATCATAATCGTTTTATCTCTGGTCAAATTACATAACCTTGATAGAGTACAAAGATTTTATAACTATGAACTTACTTGATCTTTCCAGTTCTCTGGCTGCTTGTGCTGCTCTTTCCAAAGCTGTGGAATCAAACCTGTAGGCCTCCATGGCTTTGCGCTCTGCCTTCGATAAATTCGGTTCTTGCGGTGGATCATTCCCAGAGCCCCCGCCAGCTCCTGAAGGTATACCGAGCCCCATTTGAGCCAAGTCAGGCCCTTGCTCTCGACTTCGAGACCCAAACAACCAAGACATGTTGACGATGTTTTGATGAAATTAACTGTGTGATATTAACGAACTGAAAACGACACCAAAACCGAAATAATTTTGGAAAAATCAAAGTGAGGTTATCCGTCAGCTCCTCTCCAACCCATGTGCGACCGTGACAGGGTTGCCACTGTTGCCAGATAGAACAACCAGAATTCCCCCAGAACAAGCTCAAAAACCCCCAGATGGTTAGCTCACAACTTATTGTTTCACTGAGTTCTGTGACTATGGATAGAAAATGTTCTCGGTTGAGTTCCATTTTTCTAATGACTTGGTGACACTTAAAAATTCACTGTAGTGAGAACACTGCACGTATTGTGAAACTTTGAATTTAAGTTTACTAGAGAGTGAGGTTAAGATTCAGTACTGGCGTTCGATCCGCGATGTTTCTATATGAAAAACTTAAAAGATGATCTATGTAAATGCCTTTTTTGCTTTTTGTACCCCCCGAAAAGTTTTTCATATTTCTACCGAAAACATGTCTGCGCCTGACAACATTGCACAAAATATAACAGAAGGGATGATCATAGAACTAAAAACTAGTAAACTAGATGAAGGAAAATAATAAGTGCCTACTTCCGGCAGAGGTATTATATAATTTGAAAAGTGTCATTATATACAAGTTTTTTGTCACATTATGTAGGTTTACAGCTGGAATGAAACAGCAGTGCATAGGTGCATAGTGAGGATTTGGGTGCTAACAATCTGTGTTGATGATAGTTCCATTGATTTGATGAGATGTATGCAAAGCTGAAATCTACTTAATATGATCCATGTATATGCCTTTTTGCCCAGGAAAAATTTTTATATTACCGAAATTTGGCATATTTCTACCGAAAACAGATCGTCTGCACCTGACAACATTGCACAGAACATAACAAATGTGAGATTGGCGATGATCATAGAACTAAAAACTAGTAAACTAGATAAAGGAAAATTATGAGTACCTACTTCCTGCAGCGGTATTACGTAATCTGAAAATGACGTTTTTTTGACATTATATACGTTTTTCTACAAGACGTCAATTTCAAAATAGCTGTCGTTTACTTCATGCTCACTTGTAGCAAGCGTGGAATGAACTATTACCATACTAGCCTACTTAGTCAAAAAATTGACATTTTATCGTTTTTTTTTTGGCCATTATATAGGTTTTTACGTAACAACACTGCTGATTTATTGAGGATCGACAGATTAGCGTTAAAGTTGCGAAATTTTGCTGGTGTCAGAACGTATACCACATTGTACATCACTGGTGACTGGGCGTTTTTAACTGATGCAAAGGATCGCCACGCTGGACCAGTGGCGTACGGTGTGTGTCTCTCTTTTATTCTGGTAGTAATCGAAAATCAGGAAACCATGCAAGTGCCGTCAGTCTCAAAAGCCAGCATTTACAATTTTGGAGACATCCGCAAAGATAAGATAGTTGGACTGCTTGCAAGGATATGGCGTCAGAGTTTTTGTCATACTGCTACATGGCTACAATTCATTGAAGTTTGAAAATTAAAACGAATGGGTAATAAAGAATAATTTAATTGTAAATAGTCACATTTGAAATGGAAGTAAGGATAATGTATGGTAAAAGTAACAACTAAAACTCTTGTATCTTAGATAATAGTGCGGCTCTTCTGTCTGTGTTCTGGAACAGTGCTCTAATCAACGATTTTAATTCTGCACACTCGAAATGCAGTGCCAATGGTCCTTTACCGTCCGACCAATGATCGTTTATATCCAACAAACTGGCACCCAATACAAAGTTCAGCTCATTCAGTTTGTACCATGACTTTACATAACTAAAAAAAACATATTTGTCATTTACAATTAAACTGCGCAAAGCAACTGTCCACCAGAATGGTTAAATTGAGGGCTAAAAAATGTTGCGTCTGACAAATGACTACTTACAGGTTCACTTCCTTTGGATCTGTGAAGAGATTAGATCCTCTGCCGATGATAACATTCATCAAATCCACCATCTGATTTGCTGCATCTGAGGATATATCTTCTAACTGTACGATGCTGTTTATGATATTACAACATAGCGTATCTAGTATTTTCCCGATGGTCTGATTGTAAATAGAATAAGGAAGGACTTTGATCCACACAGTTTTGAGCAGTTCATGCTGACGCAGACATTGTCTAACGCATTTTTCTGTTGCTGGTTGCAAAGAATCTAATGTAGGACCTTAAAAAAGATGAACGATACATTTATAGCAGTTCCACAAGTTTTACAGGGTAGAAGCTTCATATAATATTGTTGAGTCAGCATGAAAGTTATCTAGTTATCTACCTGTTAGTTTTGATTCCTTCATAATCTCTTCTATTTGCTCAATTTGAGTTTTAACATAGTCAGCAAATATTTTGGAGGCTACAACCTTCAGCACTTGTGCTTGGTTCACAAAACCACCTGCTTTTGGTAAATCTTGATATCTACAAATAACGTATACACGGAAGATCATGGAGAACTGTTGACATTCATATTAATGTTTTGTAATAAAAGTTTTTCTTGAAGTACAGGTTGAACCAGAAACGCTTACGAATTTTGGTATAAGACTAGTGCAGGAATTGAAACGCGATTTCCAAGTTTGAAGAATATTATCATTTCTGATGAAGCTCAGTTTCATTTAACAAGCAAAATTGCCGATATTGGGCCGCAGAAAATCCCAACGACCTTTACATTCGCGTTATGTTACAGTTTGGGCGGTCATGTCGGCTGAAGGAATCATCGGACCCTATTTCTCGGTGACCACCCCGGAGCCGCTGGATTTTTTTTTGTCTGGGGATACCTCAAGAATACCTATCTTAATCAAATTATTTGGAAACTAAAAAACAATCAAAATGACTTACTCTGTAGTCCAATCACTGAGCTTATAGCTCAGATAGTAACAGTTATTATGAAAAAGGGCGACCTGTTGCGGAATAGTTTGAAGAAGTTTCTGATGATACTCTGGGACTCTAGCTATATACAATCTTATTATATTTTGTGCTGTTAAAACCAATTTAGATGCACAGACTTCTGATGCTCCGACAGCTTGCTGCATTATCTTTTCAAGCAACTCCAAGAGATCCAGGGTACTTTTGGATACGAAACACGTCGAAGAATTCTTATCGGTACTAAGAAATCCGTCCGGATTAAAAATCATGTCTACTTCTGTCATTTCGTACAAGTCTTTCTTGATGATTTGACATGCAGAGGCATCATATTTCTCACACTTCTTGTCTATGAAGAGTTTATCAACCTGGCGAACATATTCGACAATAGAATTTGTATCATCCGCGAAAATCTTTGTTTCTTCCAGAAGATCTTCCAGGTTTCTGGTGGCATCTATGACTGTGTTGAAATTCTAAAAGTATATTCAAATTCAAATTATGATAACCACATGTGAAGGTTCTTTTTTTCAAGCGCCTACTCATTCAACTGTAACAACTCAAAAAATAAATGTTTTGCGATCTCGGGGAACGATGAGCCGGTCAAACTTGAAAGTTAATACGGAAACTATCTATGGATTTCAAAACCTAATTCTTGTTCAACAAATAAAACACTGCATTATATTTATTAGATATTTATACTAAGTTTAAATGGTTTTATTTTAATAAAATTTTTTATAAGTACTTAATGAAGCATAATAAGTAAATGATAAAAATTTCAAAATGATTGCACTGCTTTAAAGCCCTTTGACCTTTAATAATGTGGGGATGCACCCTGATGTGCTACGCATTCTCCAACGCGCCTAGGCATGCTTCTGATCAGGTGGTCAATGTCCTCCTGTGGTATCTCATTCCAGGCAACCACCAACTCCTCTCGAAGTGCTTCTAGAGTCTGAGGAGGACGTTGCAAATTGAGCAATCTCCTACCCATCATATCCCACACGTGCTCAATTGGGGATAAGTCGGGAGATCTTGGTGGCCATGGTAACAATGTGACATCATTATGTTGAAAGAAGTCTATTGTGACTCTTGCAACATGTGGTCGGGCATTATCTTGTTGGAAAGTTGGATCTGCCAGGGTGTCAAGATAGGGTAAAAGATGGGGTTCTAGAACTTCGTGGATATAACGCTGCGCGTTCATGTTACCTCTGATGAAGATTAAAGGTGACCTGGAACCATAAGCTATAGCACCCCAAACCATAACTCCAACAGTGTGATGAACATGTCTTTCAACAAAAAACTGTGGATTCCTCCTTTCACCACGTCGCCTTCTAACCCTGGCACGACCATCGTGCATGCCTAAACAAAATCGAGACTCGTCACTAAAGACAATACTGTTCCATTCCTGATCCCAGGGTGACCGTTGTCTGCACCACTCAAGGCGATTACGTCGGTGTTCTCAAGTTAAAGGGAGGACCGAGTGTGGCCGGTATGAAAACAAGAAAAAACTTCTCATTCGTCGGTAAACACTTCGCATGCCAATAGGTCTTCCGTGTTCTGCAAACCATTAATTTGTAATGGACCTGGTAGTGGAGAAACGGTCCCTTAAGGCCAATAATCTTAGGCGGCGATCTTCACGGTCTGTTGTTCTACGGCGGCGTCCAGTGCCCCTTGCTCTTTGCGTACGGCCTTCTCGAAGCCATGCCTGACAACACCTAACCACAGTGTCTACACTTCTTTGCACTCTAACTGCAATTGCCCGAAAAGAAAGTCCAGCTTCCCGAAGTCACACTATACGGCCCCTATCAAACTCACTAAGTTGACGAAATCGTACAGGTCTCCGTACTCTAGGCATCGTAACCGATCGTAAAGGATGTCAAGAACCAAAATCCGCCAACGTTGATTCTTTACTGCGGCTGAAATATTCATTTTTAGAGCGTTAGTGAATTAAAAAAAAGCAGTATAAAAACCGGAATGTCCAACTGATAAGGCTGAAAATTTTTTCACTTGTTATTTACAGTAAGATAAATACATTCACCAACTTTTATTAAAATAAAACCATTTAAACTGGGTGTTTGGATTTATATGTCACTTATTATATCATTAAAAGAACATTATTTACTAATTTTTGTTTTTAAGTTTTCTTTTTATTTACAGTCAGGATATATATAAGAAGTGTTTGAGCAACGTCGACAAGAGCATGTTACGAACTTGGACAATCTTCAATTGACGAAAATAAATGAAGATAGGATCTTCTTGCAGCGGCAGAGAGAGTTGCTTCCTTAACTCCTTCGACATCAGTAGGTTTTATGTTAAGAATTTGAATAATAAAAGTCTTTGAAATGTTTTGTTATCCAAGATCAACCAAGGAATGCCTTCAAAATGTGATGGTCACCTTGTATTTGACCTTGACCACAGATTACTACCAGAGGCAACACTCTGTAAAAAATCAGGTTCTATCAAGGCCAACTTGAGGCCTATGCATTTGGTGGGATTCATATTAGTGTGACATTTAGGATTTAGGGGTTATCAAAGACATACAGTTTTGCTTTTATTCAATATAAAAAGTTTTTCAAGAAATAATAATCATTCTCACCATAAGGCATGTGGGTAAATGATAAACACAAATAAAGTTCTTGAATCTGTTGTTTGATGTATGGAAAAAATCCTCGGGAGGCTTATGAAGATAAGCGGAAAATGTGGTAAGCAGTTGTGGACAGGAAGATCAAAAGGACCGACAGCAGGTGACATTGATCTCCAGAGCAATGTGAAGATCATCTTGTTTCTAGTTATACCATATCATGTATAGACAAAAAAATAAAATGATAAGGGAATTTATTGATAACTTATAAACTTTAGCAAAACGATACATACCTGTAAGTCGGCAGTTGTAGTTGGTATTGTATTATCAAGGCAATGCTTTATTAAAAGTTCAGACAAATTATCCCTGATATCTACACCAATATACTCAATGGCACTCAGTTGGTCATTGAGCAGCAATGTAAAATTAGCTTTTAAGAATTTTACGAGATATTCTAAATTAGAAAATACTTCAGTATATTCCGGTGACTTTGCCTCATCAGTAACCTTTATAATTATGGTATTGCTTAGAGCATTTTCCTCTGTTTCTAATTGGACTTTGTTGTCAACAATAGGCACTAAAAATAAGTCCCATAATAATTTGCTAATATTATGCAACACATAAGCTGCCGAATCTGCATAAAATAATGCCTGGAGAACATTTTGAATGTGTACAAGATCGCTTGAAATGGAGAATGTAGTTTTATCTCCTACATTTTCAATGTGAATAGCTTTGCAGAATATTTCTGTTAATTCTTCTTGTAAATCAGTTTTCTTAGAGTTAACTACATCTTTCAGTTTACTTAGCACTTCAGGATAACTTTGCTCACTTGAAGTGAGTTCAAGCAATATATTATCTAATTCACATATTAACTTCATGGCCCCCATATAATCTTTATCATTTAGCAAATCTGCGAATTGTTCTAATTTCTTAATAACTCGAAGTATGTCACTAACAAATGATAAAGTTATGTTGACTGCATGCAAGGATTCAATGTTATGCTCTAACTTCTCATTTGCCTGAACAAGTTCGGTCTTTGTAGCTAATTCAGCCTTTTTTTTCAGATCCACCATTTTTTCTTGAAGCGTTTGCGCTCTATTCAAAAGCATTTTATAATTATTAGGTCTTTCTTTATATTTCACATAGACCTCCTTAGTGTATTCAACAGCATCATGTTTCAAGTTTTCAATCGACGATTTGAGGTATGGAACTGCTTTATTGACCTCCTCTATTCCAATTTCCCCGGCAGTAGATAAAATTGCTGCTACAAAACTCATTTTGATCCAAGGTATTTTCGAAAAAACTGCTGAACTACTACCAACTAATATTACACCTGAGCCCAAACTCAAAACTGATAAAAAATTCAAATTTTTTGGTAGATGAAAAACCTATGTAGTTTTTCCAACGGAAACGTCAGCTGACAGTGACAGATTAGTGGTGTAACTATACGGTACTCGAGTACTGGTTACTCATAGATAACCGAAGTAACGAGTACCAATCCGAACACGAAATGATTACTTTGATTACTCTGTTTTCCGTATCCGTACCTGGTACCTGTAGAATCGTTGATCGTTGTCGCTCACGCATCAGGATTGCCAGACTTCTCAGATTCGAGTGGAAACCAGGAAACTCAATTTTTCTTGATTGGCGGACATAGAATTTGGTAATTTTTTTTTAAATCTGAAGTTTATCTATTTACACCGTGACTCAAATTCGCTTTTATTGTTGTGATCTTGGGAACCTGGAAAAGAATAAGAAGTCGACTGGATTGGAGCAAAGTTCGGCAGTATTATGAGGCAGAAAAGCGACAACACCACCGTTCACACCACAACCACAATAATAAAGATTATAATCAAATCCAAGCGAATAACCAAAATTTCTGTGTTATGTGCCGCGGTTATAATATGGTTCAAGATGACACACGGGTTGATGACGTCAGTTACACGAATCGCTTGAACGCGTTGGTTTTAACCGCGGTTTTGTTGCAAGTTGTTTATTTTAGAAAAGCGCGTATATAATCTCTGATTATTTTTATTATCACTTAATAATCGGTGCTTTTTCGTCTACAACTGTATATGGAAAGTTTAAATAAGAAACCTTTCATAATATTCATGGAGAAATGTTTTTTCAGATTTTTTTTTTAATGATCTAACCATGGCTTTGTAGCTATGATAACTTTCAATTCTCTAAATTTTTCCGCATGTCAAAGAAAACATTTATTGATTCAGCAGAAATGATGAAAAAAGAAATTAGCAAAACCGTATACAGGTGGATATCATCTAGTGAGTTTATATGGCCATATTTTAATATTCTTGTGGTATATGGCTACACAGGATACTTTGTTAAGCATAGGAACTACATTTAAAGTATCCCCAACAACCGTAATGAGTATAACTAATAAGGTGCTCCACTTTATGGTAAAACTGAAGTCAGCCTGTATCGTTTTTCTCAAAAATGAAGCTGAAGTACAATAACAATATCCAATACCCGGCAAAATTCTAACTTGTCACATTTCAAATAATAACCAGAAATATAAAACTACTCTTGAGTTGGGTAAATACCACAATTTTGCGGTGATAACTATGACATATAACAGCTGATTCGTGACGTCACGGATCTTATAACCAAACTGATAACTACACTCGCTTGAACGGATTGGTAAATACCAACCCAAAATGGTAAATACCATTTCCATTTGGTTATCCGCTTGAATTTGATTTATGTCAATTTGACTCGTATTTACTTGTACTGTTTTTATAAAAAAAAAATATAATTCCGTATGACTACCAATAGTATGTGTAGACTAAGCTCCTCGTAGAATTGTTTATATTTAATTGAAATGCTTCTAGAAGTGACTTGCCATTCCGTATTTCCTTAAGCCCATATACAGATCATTTTTCTGACTAAAATACATGTTTTTAAGCTTTTGTAGTAAATACAAGGTATGTTCAGTTTGTAGGCTCATATAGATCATATGACACTCTAGCCTCTAATAACCCATCTCGATAAGCATAAAGTTTGAAGATACGATCTTTGCATTAAACACGACAGATTTGAATAAACTGTGCTTATACCATTTTGCAAATTTTAAGGTTGTCTATTTTCTGACAAGATTCGGTTCCATTGAACTTGTTCAAATTCGACATTAATTACACCACGTTGCCAAATCGCTATACTCATACTACTCAAAGTAACGAATACAATAAATGATTACTCTGTAGAAGAGTAACGATTAGTAACAAGTACTCGAAAGTAACGAGAATCAACACCACTATGACAGATGCGAACGCACAAAGCATACACTGAAATAGGTTTAGTTGGTCGCGTGCTAACCAATCGCAACACGGTTGACTTACGTTAGTGTCAATCGCCATTTTATCTGGAAGCATGCGACGTTGCCGGCTCTAAGAGTCTGATACTGTATAAGTGACACAGCCTCCTTCTTGATAGTGCGCATTTCTACTGTTATCAATTATCATTTGTATGTCGTGTCCACAATTTGCACATAAATATAAAACAACTATTTATATTGTTGATTTCCGCGTGTACAAATAGTGTGTGTCTAGATATTTTGGAGTAACATAGGATTGTTGTGTCAACCCTAACATACAAGTAAATGAGTATGCAAGGCTCACCTAGTTTGCTCCACAGATTTTTCTCAGAAGAGTTGGAAGTAGTTATAATTTCCACTTTGGAGACACTTGACACCTACGCCACAACAATAACAGATAATCGAGAACCCTACAGTGAACACCACTATTGAAAAAAGTAGCTAAGCCGAATAGAGCGCTGCACGGAGCTGTGAATGCGTAGAAAGTGATATTATCCTTATTGGGGATATTATATGAATATATGTTCATGAAATCATCATTTAATATCGCAGATCTCAAATTATAATTAAACAAAATCTCAGGCACATTCCTTATTCCAGGTGCATTCTTGGCATTGCTTCCATAGTTCCTCCAGATCTGCAACCAAATGACAAACGTCAACGGTGTTGCCATTGTTTAACGTGCAGCTCCTACTTTTCAGTCTTATGTGTTTTGTGGAATCTAACCTCTTTGACATTTATTTGGTTTGTTTTGATTGACCATTTCACAATATAACAATATTCTTGCAGTTTTTTCGTATAATACCAATCATGGCATCTGCCAGCAGTACCAGTGCCAGATCTTTATTTGCAGATTCAAAAATGCGCCTAGCCGACAGGGTACAGGTAAACGTAAATAACATTTCATCCCTTGCAAAGCAAATTGCGAAGGGTTCAAAAAGTAGCGAGGTAAGCACTTTTTGATCTGCATAATTTGTAACTTCAAAAGATGCTAAAACGGGAAGTAGTTCTTAAAGGTCTGATAGTAATTTCACTATTCTGAGACGTTGTACTTTATAGATTCTTATGCACTCGACTCGTAACTTTGCTGTCCAAGAGCAAGCAATAGAAAACAGCCTGAATAATTTGAAAAGGATGCAGTTGTTATGTACTCACTTAGGATATCAACAATCGGCTATGTTGAAGTCTGCACAACAACTGGAGGAAGTTAAGGAACAAGTTTGCGCAATGCAAAGATAAATGTGGGAAATCTTTTATTGTGCCACTCTAGATAATAACTGATAAGTGAGAATAAATGATTATTGTCAAAAACTGTAATTCTACCTTCTAGTCAACTGCATTTTTTCTTCACATTCCTTATATGTTAACAAAGTATGTTTATTTGTTTGTTAATGTATTAATATATCGATTATAAATTACTTTATTACTTTTCAATACTTCTTCTATGGAAGAGTAACAAATTAGATGGGACATTAAAAGTACACAACTAGAAATGGGAAATATCAAAATTGCATCCAAATCATTGTTGTTGTGCAAAGTAAACAGGACAAAGAAAATGGTGATCAAACATTTTTTGTTTCCGCAAATCGAATTTATTTCATTAAAAATAGGCTCCTTCAGAGTCAATACAGCAATTTGCACAGACCAACGTATTTTCGAATGACGATTTTAGCTCAAAATGGTTGTAGACGCCTTTTGGATGGCCTCTATGTTTCCTTCGAATCGTAGAAACAAATCGACATTGTCTTCACTTTGGACTTTTCCAAACGGCTTCTTTTCGGATTTGGTACGCTTGGGTGCTTCCATTCGGCACTTTGACGATTGGATCGTACTCAAAATACCACGTTTCGTCACCAGTCACGATGTTGTACAGCAAGTTTTTGTCTTTTTTGGCCTCTCGAATGTTGAAGCAATTTTTGGTCATCCGTCAGCTTTTGCAACAAACCATGAACACACCTCTCTCATTCCTAAAGTCTTGGTCAAAATGCGGTGGATTGCATCTTTAGAGATATTTGATTCCATTTCTATATACAGTAATGGACAAAAGTGTATATATACAGTGAAAGCTCCCATAAGCGGACACTCACGGTTCCGTAACTTTTGTCCGCTTATGGGAGGTGTCCGTTTAAAAGAGAGTATGTAAGTATAGAGTATAAATAACGGGGTATATAATCATGAGGAAATGAGGTATTATAATCATGAGAAAAATGAAACAGAAACTCGCCACATTTTTAAAGTATGTATTTATGCTATATATCTATATAATATATGTACAAAAACATAAATGCTTCAATACATGGTATGAGAATTTAAAAAAAACATTATTCTTTAGCTTGTTGAAAAAAGTTTAAAATGTTTGTCTGACGAAATTTCACCATCTTTTGCTGAAGGAGACAATTTTCGTAATAACTTTCTAAATTTTTCAAATGTTGAAATGCAGTGAAATCATCTTTAGCAAATTTTTTCAATATAGAAATATGATTTAGAGCTTCCCCATATGAATTTATCGTTTTTGAACCGCTTAGTGAGTCCACCAGTTCCACTTCTTCTTCTGAGTCGTTTGGACTACCATACTCAAGTTGGCCTGGGCTTTCTACATCCAAATTCGAAAAGTTGCCAATGGCATTTTCTTCTGTTGTTATGTTATTGTCTATGGCCAGGAAATCATCTACTTTCTGGGGATCTGCTACTCCTAAATGTTTGGCATGTCGCAGTAACTGAGCAAGTGTTGCTAAGGGCAGATCGTCTTCAGCATCGCAATAATTTTGCTCAGCAAATTCTGAGCTACATTCACTTTTTCTGAATCCAGCTTTGCCAAAACAGTTTTTAATTGTAGAGGAATTTACTTTATTCCATGCTGTTTTTATAAAATATAAAGCTTCTAACACATTGATAGACTTTGTAAGCTCAGATAAGCTTTGACCATCGTCAATTTTTGTTAAAATATGTTTTAAAATCAAGTGCCGATAATAAAATTTAAAGTTCTGTATGACACCTTGATCCATGGGCTGACAAACAGAAGTTGTGTTTGGCGGTAAAAATATAATTTTCACATTTTTCATTTTCATATCACGAGGATGAGAGCATGCATTGTCTAAAAATAAAAGAACTTGCCTTTTTGGATTCTCATTTTCCGGTCGAATTCGACTAACCACTCAGACATGATTTCTCGGGTCATCCATGCCTTTTTGTTGGATTTCCAAGTCGCTGGTAGATCCTTAATGGCAACGTTTTTTAAAGCACGGGGACGAGCCGCTTTCCCGATCACAATCAAATCCCATTTTTCACCGGCCATATTTGCACAGAATAAAATGGTTAGTCTATCTTTAGACAACTTTCCACCCACACATGTTTCTCCTTTAAAGGACAGAGTTTTGTCGGGCAATGCGCGAAAAAAAAGTCCACTCTCATCTGCGTTGTACACATCTTCTGGTTTGTAGCCAAGCAACATGGACGGAAGTTTCTCCAAAAATTGTGACACATCAACTTGATCTACTGCAGCAGCTTCGCCAGATATGCATTTGAAACTCACACTATGTCTCTTGCGCCACTTTTGCAGCCACCCGTCGGACGCACTGAAATTATTATAGCCCAAAGTAGTGGCGATTTCTTTAGCTTTCATTTTCACTAACGGCCCTGAGATTGGAATGTTCCGACTTCTAGCTTTCACAAACCACTCAAAACATGTTTTGTCTATTATAGCAAAACCTTCCTTTTTTTAAAAATCCTTCTTTTGATTTATATTAGTTCCTGATTGCCATTTACTCCTGATATCTTCCTTATTTTTGGCAATTTCAGCTGCTTGCGTTTTCCCAATATTAAACCTCTTTGCCAAATGACGAACTGAAACACTTTCTCTGTCTAATACGTTAACAACTTCCATCTTTTCCTTTAACGAGAGCATCCTTTTTTTTTGGTGCCATTTTACAGTTACAATAATAAAATACGTAACTCAATCAACTACGAATTTGCCTGAACTGAAGACAAGCCACAAGGTTACATACAGGCTACCCAACGAAATGCGTAAATGGGGAATCACCTAATATAAATCGGGGAATTACCGAATTTTATGTATGTAGATATGTGCATTGCAATAAGCGGAACTAAAAAATCGTCCGGGTATTAGAGTTTCGCGTCCGCTTATGGGTGATTTTTTGATCACATACAGGAAAATCTAGTGTCCGCGTCCGTTTATCGGAATGCATTTAACATTGAAAATTGATGGCTGAAATTCGGTTCCAGGAACTTTGTCCGGTTAAAAGAGATGTCCGCTTATAGGAGCTGTCCGCAAGGAGAGCTTTCACTGTACCTACCCAACGATAGTCTCCGATAATAGACGGCGCTATTTGTATCCGATATCTTTCAAAAGTCCTGTCTACTTTACGACAGACCTTGTATTATGTATAGAATAAGGTTAACCTAACAAGTAATCTTTACCTCACACGCCACACAATTGGTCCAGAGGCAGCGGGAAAAGAAAAGAAAAATAAAATCGTTCTTACCTTGTTTTTTGACGTCTCAGATGATCCTGATTTTTTAATAAAATTTTAGAGGTAAAAAATTAGGTGGTGGGCAGTTATACAATAATTTTTTGCAGGTAAAGAATGTCTATTGGTGTGTTTGAATGACTTGATCCGTTTAGTTTCTCCTAAGTAATTTATTATTCGAAGAGTGTTTATATGAAGAAAAACAGTTAATAGTTTTGTCGTAACATTTATTCGGATAAAAACTTGTTGGCACATTTGTACCAGTATCAACAAAACAAATTTTCAATTTGAGATACAAAAATAAAAGTGGGTATGCACTAATTCAGAACATTTTTTTTTATATATACACTTGGCTGGAAAGTACTTACTCAAAAAAAAAAACAGAACTGGCTTTGAGTCATGAATATTTAAAATAAAAAGACAATGCTAAAGATTTAAAAATATGTCCTAATATATAATGGATCACAGACACTGCAAAATGATTTCCACAAATTCTTCACTAAAAAAAATCGAGGAAATATACCTAACACTTCAACATTTCTCAAGTCTAAACATATCAGCAAATTTCCCCAAAATAATTGTCAAGTTTGGTTTTATTGGTGCAAGTTGTTCAAGGTGGTATTTAAAACATGGACGCATAAAATGGGTACACCAATTTTTGTGGGAAAACTTTATTCGACAACAAAGAATGAGAAAACGTGTTTTTTGGGATTCAATCGAAAGTGTTGACAGGGACGAAAAAACGTTTCAAATAAGATTTTTACGTATTCATGAGGTCTACAAAATGAGACCACACAAAAAGATCCAACTGATATTAAAAATGTTATGGTCGAAAAACGAGGCAAAATTTGCGACGATAATAATTTCACGTCACTACTTGAAATCCCACTACTAGCTTATTGAGCAATATACAGGGTTCATTCAAGGAGCATTTAATAGCAAAATACACGTGTTTACCTTGTCGATATGAATCACAAAACCTTCCGAAAGATAAATGTTATTTTTATGCGAAAAACAAAGGTTACGTTCAAACATTTCGTATTTGTGAGTAATCGAAGATATTCGAGAAACATTTCAAAACTAAGCATATGTGTCTATCATCTTTTGTTGCGAATTCCTCACAAATGGGAAATGCTTGAATTTGTTTAGAAGAAAAAACGTAACCCATCCTTTTTTGCATAAAAATAACATTTATCTTCCGGGATGGTTCGCGATTCATATCGGAAAGGTGAACTGGTGTATTTTGCTATAAAATGCGCTGTATATTTCTCAATAAACTGGTAGTGATGGCCAGAAAACAGGTGTTTTGGGATAAACAATTAGAAATTCTCGAAAACTACTTAACCAATCTACTCCAATTTTGTTGTGGTTATTCAGAAGTATGAATCCTGCGAATATGATGATAGGATCAGTTTTGTCACTGCAATTTCAGCAACAAAATATACTTGATACCCTGTGTCCAAAATCCAGTTCTTAATAAATAAATCCCACTGACCATGACATAACCTATTGCAGTGATTAACAGGTCTAAACCGGTTACCTTCTCGGTAAGCTAAAATGACAATTTGACATTTTCATTATGAAATAAAAAGAAAATTTGAGTACGCGGTACGCCAAAAATCAAGCCAAGTACTTTCCAATCATACCGAGTCCATAAAAGTCAAAAACCAACATCGCTGTTGACGAATTTAATTGGAAAGTGGAAAAACACCCTAACTAAACTGGCCGTCACTTCCGCATCATACTTTCTACAGCCATCTTTAATAGTTGTGCTTCTATATTATGTTTTCCCTGCGGATTTGTTTTTATAAAAAAATTAAGATGTTTTAACAACTCTTTTAGTACTTTTGGTATAAAATGTTTCGTATTTGGATAATCCTGATCCAGTGCCAGGAATGCGGCTCGTATGAAGCTGAAATTGGAGATAAAAAAATATTAATAAACACCGTGACAATCATCATCACAAAAAAATATTTATTATAACTTTTGAAGCTTATGCATGGTGTAATTTAATTGATTGCTAAAAATACAGAATATAATTTTTTAGCTCATTTTAGGAAGAAAAGATTATATGAACATATGTCCTAAACCTCTTAACCTTTTAGCTACAGGGTGAAGAAAAAATACTGTTCTAAAGTGTATCTAACGAAGCTACAAAGTAATCGTAAACAGTGGTTGATTCGTGATCAATGCGTGATCGGTAGCCATGGCGCTCTGTCGGCCTCTTCCTGATTGGCTTGTAGCGACGAGCCTCCAGACAAAGTCGCACGGTTGCCACGCTCGGCGAGTTTTCGCCAGAGTGGTTGATCACATTCGCATGGATCACAAATCAATCTGTTGGTGCAATACGTGCAATAACTGTTGTAAAGGACATTATATAACAATAAATGGCATCACAAAGGTATATTCCAATTTGATCTGCAGCAAATTATGAACGGCATATACGGAGATGCGAAAACAAGCTCAAAAAGGTGAAGAAAATTTTTGTGCAATCTTTATAGTTAAATTTTTCCTAAGAGATAGCATCAGTGAGGGAATTTTTTTCTATTGTCTTATTTTTCACATTAATGCGATGTCGAGGTATGTGGCCCTATCGCAATTGAAAATAAGGTTTCGATAATCCTTCCAAAAAGTTTCGATGAGTACATCTGAAATAACTTTAAGATATTCTTCAGGGAAATACAAAAATCTCCTTTTGTGTTTTTTTGTGCAGATTTATCTATTAAAATCCTATCCGCAATCTATTTTCCGTGCACACACCTTCAACCGAATGTATGCCATATATGATATTACCGTTTCCAACTTTCACCAAGGTTAATAGGAACCATAACAGCTCCCTACCCTTCCCCCCTATAAGAATATCGATTTGTAGCCTCACATTTCAAGGTTAGACTTCTTGTAATGTTTCTGTTCAACATTCGGCGATTTCTGACAACTTTCCCAATAAAACATGATCATTGTGACATTAAGCCTGGCAACGCTGCATAGTAGAGGGAACTCTCAGCGTCACGTTGATGGTTCGTCACCACGCACAGGATTGTAATCAGTTACGGATACTCGTTTATGAGCGCGAACGTTTTATGCACGTCTTGACTTGATTTTTCTTGCGGAAATTTAATATTAGTCTAAAATGTCTGACACAGATACAGCTGATGAAGTGGTTGAAATCAGCTTAACGCCACCCAGAAAAAGGGCTAAAAAGCTTCATCTTAGCGCAGATGAAAAACAAATTATTCTAAATATCTACAAGAACCAGATGCAAGAGAATAGTGGATTGGCTATAGAAAATATCGTATGTAAGGTTGCTGAAATTTCTGGAGTAGGTCGATCAAGTGTTTACAAAATCTTGAAGGAATATAGACAAAATCACTCACTATCTGAGCCAAAAACATATCCAGCGAGAAAAAAAATCATCGAAAAAATAGATGACTTTGACAAAAGTGCCATTAGAAGAAAAGTACATCACTTTTTCTTCAGGAATGAAATACCTACAATAGATAAAATATTGAAGCAAGTGAATGATGATGAGGACCTGCCAAATTTTAAAAGATCTACGTTCCATAAGCTGTTGAAAGAACTAGACTTTCGATTTTTGAAAACAGGAAGGAATAGTTTATTGATAGAAAAGGAGGAAATTGTTATCTGGAGGAGAGAATACCTTAGAAAAATTAGGCAATTCCGCGCTGAAGGAAGAAAAATTTATTATTTAGACGAAACATGGGTGAACGCGGGGCATGCGCAGGGAAAGGTTTGGGTAGACAGATCTGTGAGGTCCTCAAGGCAGGCTTTTTTTAGATGGCCTTTCGACGGGATTGGAAAATCCTGCAGGTAAGTTTCGAAGTATATGAACTTTTTTGGATGCAGATAATTCATTTTCTGATCGAATCAATGATTTGGAAGCTCCGAACTCAGTTTTGCTATCTCATCCAAGTTTCTGAGTATTTCCTTTACCCAAAAACTAATCTGAGACCCTATCCTACACTAACCTAAAAAGAGTAAGTTGCTTAATTTCGTCATTTAGTGCGCTCGCTGAGAAGTAAAATAACTAATTACTTTCAGGCAAGGGAAAACGCCTGATCATTTGCCACATAGGTAGCGTAGATGGATTTGTTCCTGAAGCATTATGGGCATTTGAATCCAAAAAAACTGGAGACTATCACGAAGAAATGGATGGTAACTCATTTGAAAATTGGTTCAAAAAATTTTTGCCGACACTTGATGATAACGCAATTATTGTGATGCATAATGCCCCGTACCAAAACCGTACACAAAGTGCAAGTTTCTAGTTATTAATGTGGAAATTCCAAATTTATAATTACACAAAATTAGGGTTAATTTAGGAGTTCCAAAGCATAATAGTGCCATTTTGACCTTCTTCCTATTTCTCATGTAAATTTTAATAGCAATCAAACTAACAAACTTTATGGACTCTGTAATAAACTTTTGTACTACTACTACTAAGTCTGTAGTTTCTATTTGCTCAAAAAAAATTTGCTCTGCATTGTGAATAGAAGGTTGTTTAGTAAATATTATTGGGTATATATATAAGATAATAATAAAATATGAACAATTTCAATTGAGATGGTCCACAAGTTTTTTTCGTGTGCGTTTTAGTAACATTTTGCTGAAATGGTGAATACAGAATTTTTTGCACTGATTCCTAATGTCGAAATATGATTAGAAAGGCGTGGTATATTCCTGATAATTTACTATGCTTTTGATAGAATTTACAGCAACACATATCTTGTACGACATTTTTTGATAGATCAGTCACAACAGCTTGATACGGCCCTGTAGCGTCTCCTACGGTTAAGTTCTTGATCACGTGCAATACGGGTGTATATGTTTGATTTTACTTTGTTTCTTCGATGGATACAGTTTAGATATTTTCATGAAATTTAACATGCACCTGCCAACCACCAATAGGCATTTTTGATGTAGAATATTTTTCAAATGAAAAATGTCGACTCACCATAACTTTAGCTCCGTGTTTTTATGTAACTCCATACTGAGTTGTTGGATCAGCGCTAGCAGACAATTTTGTTGTAACACGCAGTCTTCTCCAAAAATTTTGTGAATATCTACTCTCTCGCACACATATATCACATACTCCAGATTTTCAGCGCTCAATGCTAGTTGGAAAGCTCCGTCGTAGTTTCCTCTTTCTAAATGTTGTTGAATCTGATTCAGAATCGTTACCTGAGAAAACGAAATTGAAGGGAAAATCAGTATTACAACTGAGTACCTCTTCGATATACAGGGTGGTGCCACGAAAATGTCGCACCCACATTTGTGATTCTCCTGGTATATTTTGGGAAAAAACACTCAGACACGTCAATTTTGATTTCTAGGACTTCTTTTCATCTATAGCCGTTCAATACAGGGTGATCCAGAAATAAGCAATTGCGTTAAACTTTAGATTTTCAAATGGAAACTTATTAGATTTTCCATGAAGTTTTTGGTATCTTTAGTATAACAAAGCTTATACCTACTTCAATCTTTGTGGATAGTTTATAATAAAATTTGACTAAATACTGATAATAATGGAATGCACGACTCCATAAAAATCCTTCAGAATTGCCACTTCCTCAAAGAAAAACAACTAGATCATTATATCTTCAAAAAATTCCCCATGCAAAAATTCCCCACATTTGGGGGAAATTCCTCCAACATGGCAACCCTGTCAAAGCACCACTGCTACTCTTAGGCGTCAAGTTTCTCTTGGTATATAGGCTTCACGTTAATGAACATAAGAGACGTTCAGTCGATTTGAGGTTAGGAACGAAACTGACAATCCTCTGTTGATCTGACAAACGATGATAGCGAAATATTTGCGGGAGCACCATCAAAGTTCTATGTACATAACTTACGTGAGATTCAATGTTGGGTGATGGTGTCACAGCCCTAGATCTCACTGCATTTATGACACTGTCTTCTATAACGGATGCATGGTTTTTGAATCCTTGCTTTACTTGATCTGCAACCACCTCTTTTATGCTATGCGTCATTTTATCCTGCATCCTAAAAAATCGAAGATAGTTATCAATAATCCCCCATGTTTGTCTGGTCGAATCAAACCACATACAGTAATGGACAAAAGGATATAGACAAATTAATATTGTGCTGTATTTCTTTTTTAACTTGTTTTATTAATACACCAGCCTGTATACATAATTTGTTATAGCATAATTAAATTCATTAGAGTCCCTTCAATGAAAAATTAATTGAAAAAACTGGAACTATGAAGGACAAAAATATATAGACAAAGCAAAACAATTATGGAAAAAAGAAGCAAAGTTCATCGAATTATAGAAAACCAACCATGTTTGTGTTAATATTTTGTAGCATAACAATTATTATCAATCACCGCCTGGCATCGTCTCGGCATAGATTGTAGAAGTTTCTTGATATAAGATTCATCAATCAGTCTCCACTTTTGCTTTAAAGAGGCAAAAAGTTTGAATAATTTTTATCTTGTATTTGCTTATCTAAGTATTCCCATAGATTTTCAATGGGGTTTATATCGGAGGACTGCGAAGGCCATTTGCGAACTGGTATTTTTTCATCCGGAAAGAATTGGTTTGCGAGATTTGAAGTGTGCTTCGGGTCATTATCTTGCTGGAAGATTGATCTTAAGGGCATATTGTCTTCCATATAGGGTAACCCTGAAAAGCACCACCAAACCATAACAGACCCGCCTCCATGTTTGGCAGTGGGTAAAGTGTACTTGGAGTTCAATCTTTGTCCACTAGGACGTCTAACGTAATGATCCAAACATATTGAACTTGGATTTGTCACTGAAACGTACCCTCTTCCAGTCACAGATGCTCCAATCAAGACCACTTCTCTTAGAGGCTTCCAAGATACGTTTTTGTTTATATTTGTTCAACATTGCCCAAACTGCTTTACGCTTCAGCTTCAAATTTTTGGCAATGTCGACTTGACGTTGACCATCTTTGTATAACTCAATGATCTTAGTTTTCACATCGAAAGAAATTTCTGGACCACGCGGCATGATCTTAAAATCACTCAACTTATTCCACAATACTTGATGAACACAAACTAATCCTCTTCTGACACGAATCTGTACTAAACTAGTGTTGAAAAGAATTTGTCTACATATTTTTGTCCCTCATAAAGAAGTGCTTATATTCAGACTTGTATTGTGTTCATTGCAGATAATGTAAAAACAAGGAATTTAGTTTTTCTACTAATAACGCATTTGTTTATGGAGCAATGAAGAATGAATTCGTTTTCTAAAGGTATTTAGGTAGATATTCATATTTGCCTATATACTTTTGTCCATTACTGTAGCTCAGAATGTTGAACTTTTGGTACAGGTTAATGGTGGAACACTTTAATTTTGATGGGAATTCACCATGTAATAAACAATGATTCATCAATAATAATTTCTCTCCAATTATACTGAAACAATCATTTAGAATCTTTTTTGAGATATTCTCACTTGGATCTTTATTAGATTCCAATTCTGAGATTGTTGATGCTGATGATTTTTTGAAATAAAAAAAGCATAGCAAATATAGTGAGTTTCAGGTTTTACGGGCGGTCGAAAATACTGGCAGTGCTAGATATGAAATTATACAAACCTATTTACCAAAAAAAACTACCCTATTTTGTACTTACGTTTTGAACACGGCATTAAACTGTTTGTGAATTTCGGAGGTTAGGGTACTCGTCAATTTATCAGCGTTCGTCTTCATATTTTCTGATACGGACTGCATCTGAACTATCAGATCTTTGCCTTTTTCTTGTACCCGTCTTTGTCTATCCATATAACTTTCTACGGACGCAGTATCTGAAATAACCAATTAGAAAACAACAATAAACAATTACTTCAAAAACCATATGAGATTTTTCCTTAGGACGTATTCATTATCGAAGAAGTTTTTAACAACATCACTTACATTCTTTGGTACCCTTGGTGAAGGTTTCATTGATTTGCTGGAACATTTTTCCACAAACTTTCTCCCAGGAAGGAATTAAAGACGAAGATATGATATCACGATAGCATTTTTCTAAACTAGGAGCTACAATATTAACAACCGAATGACTCAGCGTGTCAGCTAGTGCCTGAAATAAAAGTTATAGTTTTATACAGGGTGTAAACATTATTGAAATGGGTAATAGGAGGGTCAAGATAAGTCAAAAAGTTCATATTACCCACGGTCCAAAAGTCAATAGATTTTTGTCTTTAAGTGCTTTGTATCGACCACAATCTTACTAATTTTTATAATCTAATATAAAACGTTTTTAAATTGGGTAATTAACAAATAAATGGCATTAAGTTTTTCTAAGTTGAGCCAAAATCTGTAGTCAGTAAGTTTCATTAAATTAAATATTTAAAACACACATGACAACAGCGCGTCGGTCATTCATCACTATTATCGAACCGGCAACCGATCGCAAACGGTAACAGTGATTAGTTATGGGCCCAAGGAAATCCTCATACCATCCGTGAAGGCATTCCCAACTACGTTATAAAATAAATATTTGGGCGGGTATTCTTGACGATCAGATAATTGGCCCTTTCGAGTTACCCCCAAGGATACCTTAGCTTTCTAGCCAATAACCTACCAGAACTTTTGGAACAGACCTTAGACTACATGCCATTACAAAGGAGACAGAATTTGTGGTTTCTTCATGACGGGGCACCACCACACATTTTTAGAGACGTCATTCAGTATTTGAATGAACATTATCCAAATCGCTGGATCGGTCGAAATGCTCCTTTTTTTAATTACAGCAGACGCTCGATAACGTAAACACGAGATAATGAAAACTTGCGCTAATGTAAACACAAACTTGGTTCTATAGGATCAAACGGAACGCGCGATAACGTAAACAATGTGTACGCTCGATAACGTAAACAACTCTCGGCGCACGGAAACAGCGCGACGGTAAAATGCTGAAGCCTCGATGATTTATGTCGGGAGCCGGGGAGTCCCCGATTTATGATGTAGAGTGTAGGGGATTCACCTCTGCGATAAAATACGACAAACTCGGTCAGTCGTATGATCGTTTAGGATACGTTTATACGTACGTATGTATTTCATTTTTGAACTTAAGTGAATACATAGTACGCGTTAATATATTTTACGACTATGGCATCCACATCCTATAAAAGAAAGTGTTTAAAGTTGAGTGAGAAAGTGAAAATCATAGACGAAGTTGCACTAGGTGCGGGAGTGACACAGTTAGCAAAAAAATATGGAGTATCGAAAGCAACAATCTGTAAAATTAAGCGTATGAAAACTCAAATTTTACAAAGAACGTGGAGGTCCGGGAAAAAGAAAAACTTTCAAAAAATGCGAAGGCACCTAAAATGGAAAATTCCCTGTATAAGAGGTTTTTAAAACAACGAGAAAATCATGTCCCAGTTAGTGGCGAAGTACTTAAACAGAGAGCGAGACTGTTAAATGAAAAACTGAAAGAAACTGAAAATTTCGTAGCTAGTGATGGCTGGCTACGACGATTCAAAACAAGATATGGAATTCGACTGCTGTCTATATCTGGGGAAAAATTATCAGCACAACCACAATTAGTGCAACCATTCAAAGAAAAATTGATGAAAACAATTACCGAGCTAGCTTTAAGAATGGAACAAATTTACAACGCAGATGAAAGTGGCCTTTATTGGAAAATGTTACCAGGGAAAACCTATGCTGCATCATTTGAAAAATCTGCCCCGGGAAGAAAGCCGGAGAAACAACGAATAACGTTTCTAGCCTGCACTAATGCTAATGGTTCACACAAAATAAAGCCACTGGTAATTGGGAGAGCAAAAAATCCGCGCTCATTTAAAAATGTTAATATCCCTGTTGATTATGACTGTTCAAAAACAGCTTGAATGACTAGCAGTATATTCCTGAAATGGTTCCACAGGTGCTTTGTCCCTCAGGTATGACAATCAATTATCACAAATGCTCTATTCATAACTGGAAGATCTGTTTTCAATTTGTAGGTAAAAGGTTTCCTAAAACAACAGAAGCTTCCAATAAAAGCGTTGTTATTATTGGATAATGCACCAAGTCATCCTCCCGAGCAACAACTGAGGAGCAGGGATGGGTCAATTTTCGTCATGTACATGCCGCCCAACGTAACACCGTTAACTCAACCGATGGACCAGAATATAATAACACTCACCAAACTATACTATAGGAAGTTTCTACTTTCGTCTGTCTTATCGAAGAATCCTGAAATCTTATCTGAGGCTGTAAAAAAAGTAACATTACGAGAAGCTGTTTTAGATTTACATATGGCCTGGAATGAACTTAATCAGCAAACTATTCAAAAATGTTGGAACAATCTCTTTTGTACCAATAATGAAGATGATGAAGAAGACGATGTCCCCTTAAGCGTAATTAGAGAACGTTTGCGATCCAATAATGATAATGTTATTAGTGTGTCATTGGATGTTGTTGATTTATTGAAAACAGTGAATCCCAACATTGTTTGTACTCCTGCTGATATTAATTTATGGAACGAAGATAAGCAGACGAATGATGCTAATAAGGAGGAGGATATGGACAGTGAGGATGATGAGAACGATCCCATTGAAGTCAGAAGTGTAGTGACTGACGCGCAAGCTATACAAGTTTTTAACCAAGCTTTAGATTGGGCTGAAAGAAAAGAAGTTTCATACACGGATATTTTAGTTCTTCGTAAATTACGGGCACAGGCATTGGAAGACAATGCTAAGCACAAATTTACGCAGACAAAAATTGTTAATTATTTTTCTTCTAATTAAAAAAATACTTATCGCTGTTAGAATATTTGTTTATTTTGTTATAAATAGTATGTATTAAACGTTTCTTTTAATAAATCAAATATCATATAAATCACGTTCGCTAATGTAAACATTTCGATAATGTGAACCACACTTGGATTAAATTAGTTTACATTATCGAGCGTCTGCTTTATTTGCATTTCACGAGTACATTATCAAATAATGAAATAATACCTAAGAGCCAAAAATAACAATCTCCATGTTTATTTACACTGCGTTCCGTCGTAATTTGCGTCTAGCATTGCGGCGTTGTCTGATGTTATTTTACTTTAAAGTCGCTTTTCTCTAAAAAAATTCCGTTTTGACCCCCATGTAATATGAAACTTTTTGCGTCTTTTAACCCCCTCTACCACCCATTTAAATAATTACTATCATAACGTTTACATCCTGTATAAAACAAATTTTATACTAAAGTAGTTATTTGAAGCAGCTGAAAATCTGAAAAATGTACATCTGCGTATTTTTAATGCATATACGAGTAACCTTACCTTACTATTGAATGCTTTGGCCACATTTTCCCTAAGCATAATATCAGTATTGGCCAGTTTCTGAGAGTACTGTGCGTCTATCTGTTTCCTATACGATTCGGCCATGTTGTGCACTGCAGGTAAAATTACATGTTTCATCTCGTGCGCGACTGATATTTGTATTTTTTCTCCCAAGGACTTGCCAAGGAATTGCGTTACAGCTGTCGCGAGTTGTTCTTGTAGCTCTCGGTGTTTACCATTTTCGGCATTCATCAGATTTTCCAGTACCTAAAAAATATCATACGAATTCGTTAGAAATAGGTATGCAGTGAAATTTCCCCTCGCGGACTCCCGTCTTACACTGACATCTTTAAACGGTCCCGACCGACTCTCATATAATTTGCATTGTATTAACTCTCTCTTGAAAGGACGCGGACACGTGAAAATGTTCTCCTAACCGGACCGAAAACAAAATAAAAAGAAACGCCTCGTCTCATTTTTTTCTGTTGAGAGTATCGCTATTGCGTTTCTCAAACGTGCCGCAATCTTCGCTTGGATTTTCTCGAGTAAACCGGGGATTCACCGAGTTTAATCTTTCGGTTTTTACGCTGCCTATGTGGTACATTTCTGCCCGACATGAATGAGGGACTTCCCCGAGTTGGTCGGGGACAGGGTTGGAACTTTTTTTTGTTATTTTATAAAACTTTTTTTTTGTTTTAAACAACTAAAACTTAGTTGCTCCATAAACAAATGCGTTATTAGTAGACAAACTAAATCCCTTGTTTTTACATTATCTGCAATGAACACAATACAAGTCTGAATAAAAGCACTTTTTTATGAGGGATAAAAATATGTAGACAAATTCTTTTCAACATTAGTTTAGTACAGTTTCTTGTCAGAAGAGGATTAGTTTGTGTTCATCAAGTATTGTGGAATAAGTTGAGTGATTTTAAGACCATGCCGCGTGGTCCAGAAATTTCTTTCGATGTGAAAACTAAGATCATTGAGTTATACAAAGATGGTCAACGCCAAGTCGACATTGCCAAAAATTTGAAGATGAAGCGTAAATCAGTTTGGGCAATATTGAACAAATATAAACAAAAAGGTATCTTGGAAGCATCTAAGAGAAGTGGTCGGCCTAGAAAACTACGAGGCTTGTCCGTAAAATCAGTTCCACGGGCTGCCGCTGGCGCTAGGATCGTTTCTATGCACAGCCAGGCAACAGAGGCAGATTGTTTGGTTCCCCCACTCCAATCCCTCACCAAGCCAGCGTCGCTGCGACGTTTAGTCTTGGCTCAGCAGCCGTCAGCGATGGAGCTTCCTCTTGCGTCTCCCGCCAGCTGCGAGTTGCGGTCTGTTATTCGTTTCCTGGCCGCTAAGAAGAAATCGGCGAAGGAAATTCACGAAGAACTTTGTCAAGTGTATGGAGAAGACTGTATGAGCTGCGGGATGGTGCGCAGATGGGTCAGGGACTTTAAAAATGGCCGAACAGACGTCCACGACGAAGCCCGTGCAGGGCGGCCATCGATTTCCGACGAAACAATTGCCAAAGTCGAAGCGGCAATGCTTGAAGATCGACGGATTACAGTTCGGGAGCTGTGCACAAAGATTCCGGAGGTCAGCAAAACCACAATTGACAAGATTTTGACTGAACATTTAGGCTATTCAAAGGTCTGCGCAAGATGGGTACCAAGAATGCTCACTGCAGACCACCGGCGGCAGCGGGTTGAAGCGGCCCAAGAATTTCTCGCTTTTCACGGAACAACCGAAGAGGAATTTCTGGACTCTATTGTTACTGGTGACGAGACCTGGGTACACTACACCACACCGGAAACAAAGGAGCAATCGAAGCAGTGGAAGCACTCTTCTTCACCAAGAGCAAAGAAGTTCAAACAAATCCTGTCTGCCGGGAAAATCATGGCTAGCGTTTTTTGGGATCGAAAGGGCGTATTGTTGTGCGAGTTTATGCCTCGCGGGACAACAATCAATGCTGTGAGACCTTGAAAAAACTTAGACGTGCCATTCAGAACAAGAGAAGAGGAATGCTGACGAAAGGAGTGCGTTTTCACCATGACAATGCCCGACCGCACACCGCCAATCGAACCACAGCCCTCATCGAAAGATTTGGATGGAAAATGGTGTCTCACCCACCCTACAGCCCAGACTTAGCACCAAGTGACTTCCATCTCTTCCCCGAGTTGAAGAAAAACCTTGGCGGAACCCAATTCCAGACAGATGAAGAGGTGCAAAACGCGGTTGTTAGTTTTCTACACGGACAGGCGGCAGAGTTCTATGACTCTGGTTTGAAGAAGTGGGTGCCTCGAATGCAGAGATGCATAGAACGCAACGGCGATTATGTAGAAAAATAAAAGAAAGACTGAACTTTCCAAAAATGTATTTTCTTTGCAATTAAACCAATTTTTTGATATGAAAAAAATTTGTGGAACTTATTTTACGGACACGCCTCGTAAATGCTAGATCAGTTAGATTAATAAAAGTAATTTCGTCCAAAGATTCGTTTAAAACCCCAAGACAAATAAAAGCCGAAATCGAGGCAAAAGGAATTGTCAGTGTTTCTACGAAAGCTATAAGTAGAATATTAAATGATTTGAAGTTATTTGCACGTCGCCTGAGTAATTTCGAGGAAAAACCGTAAGGACCGATTACAATTTGCACGGTTGCATCTTGATTGGAGCATCTGTGACTGGAAGAGGGTATGTTTCAGGGACGAATCCAAGTTCAATATGTTTGGATCAGATGATGTTCATTACGTTAGACGTCCTAGTGGACAAAGATTGAACCCCAAGTACACTTTGCCCACTGTCAAACATGAAGGCGGGTCTGTTATGGTTTGGGGGTGCTTTTCGGGGTCTGGGATGGGACCTTTACATACAATAGATGGTATTATGGATAAGTTTGTATACACAGACATACTGAAGCATGTCATGTTACCCTATATGGAAGACAATATGCCCTTAAGATCAATCTTCCAGCAAGATAATGACCCGAAGCACACTTCAAATCTCGCAAAGAAATTCTTTCTGGATGAAAAAATACGAATTCTCAAATGGCCTTCACAGTCTCCCGATATAAACCCCATTGGAAATCTATGGGAATACTTAGATAAGCAAATACGAGATAAAAATTATTCAAACAAGGATGAACTTTCTGCCGCTTTATTACTGTACGTCGCGCCACGCCGCCGTTAGGCTGTGCCGGAGAATCCCCGAAATAACAAAAAACAATTGCAATGAGGAACTATTGGCCTGGGGGAACCACAGACTACTATTTATAAATTCGCCTTGCAAGTTGGCTATCGCAATAACGTCTACTGCAAGTTATTTTGTGGTGTTCTTTTTTTTTGAAAAATGTCTACAGGAAGGAAGAAAGATGCCATTTGGTCCTATTTTGATGTTAAAGATAATAAAAAAATCAGTGTCTGCTAAATGTAAAAAATGTAAAGTAATTATGGCTGTACTAGTTCTGGGTATGATAAACATATTTAAAAATGTGTTCCACCTGAAAATTCTGAGCTACCAATGTCAATTATCTATGATTCCGAGTCAGATGAGGATTTAACGCTAGATGAGATATCCAAAACTCAAAAATATTCAAAGAATGTTTACCCAGATAATAATACAGGTAACTTTGAATTTTAAATTTTTACCAGTTTGAAGGCAAATGCCCAAGACTATTTAAAAAAATTAAAGTATGTCGCATTTGCTTTGGACAAAGTCCAAAGAAACACTTGCACTATAGGATGGGCTACAGAGATATACCTAGAATTTTTAGAAGCATTCGAGACTGAAAAAGCAAATGGAGAATTTTCGGTAATTTTTATTTATAATATTAATAAAGAAAATGAAGAAAAAAATGCTTGTTTAATTTAAGTGTTTTAAACTGTTTTATACCTTAGCGAAAGTTTAAAACATGTTTAAAACAATTGATCAAAACAAAATGTTTGAAACGAAACAACGCTGGTCGGGGATTTACCGTTCTTATTCAGTTTGCTGAAGAAGAAATGCCTTTACGATCGACATTCCAGCAAGATAATGACCCCAAACATACCTCAAAATTCGTAAAGGACTGGTTGAGACTAAAAAATGTTAATGTTCTTAGATGGTCTTCGCAATGACCGGGCCTAAACCCTATAGAACATCTCTGGGAGCATGTTAAAAGACAACTGACAAGAAAACTTTAAAAAATACGAACGATTTATTTGATTATGTAAAGAATATTTGGTAAAATATCCCAACAGACGCCTGTAAAAAATTGCTGTCTTCTACGAGTAGCAGATGTCAGGCAGTGTTGAATGCTAAAGGCTATGCTACCAAATATGAGCTACACAGTATTTTTTAAATCTTTTTGTAGAGTTATTGTATTTAATTTTGTAATAAAAAATGTTTCCATACCTTTATCGTCTCATTTTTTGTCATAAAATAGTATGAAGGTATTTTAATGCTAGTCCGTAGTACCTTTGCAGACACAAATAAATTCATTTGTAGACTGTGAGCAAACTATACGAGAAAAAAATAGTCAATTATAAAAAAATAGAAAATTACTAAAAATGTTTCCAAACTGTTGCCCCGTACTGTATGTACATACATATTATATTATACATGTTATATGCCGTTAGTAACTACGCAGTTATTAAGTAAGCTTACATTGTTGCACTAGGCGCTGCGTTAGCGTAAGATAACAACTTCTCGCTAATCAGTTGTTTGCCACGTGTCTCTATTTTCTATGGATCTATTGTTTGTTCATTGTCCATTGTGTATTTCTGCTGATCCTTATTCAGCAGCCTAAATTGTATAAATAGGTCTGCCAACATTTGAAGTGTGTTCATTAGATACCCGGCTAGAAACCGTAACTGTCACTTCGGGTTCATTAGGTACCCGGTAGACTCCGTTATAGTCAGTCGTAATCTTTGCAACTTGTAATTTCTTACGGACCGAATTACAATCCTCGAATAAAGTTTTTAAAAAGTATTTTTCAAAGTTATCAATTTAACATACATACGTAAATTCGATGTATACAGAGTGTTCGAAAAATAGACGAAGATATTTTAGAGGGTCATTCCTTGTTAAAAAATATGTGGAAACGTTTCTATAAGCATGAGTCCAGAAACGCAGAGTTTTTAGGAACAGGGTGATAAATTTTTTAAAGAAATACTTTTTTACTGATATCTTAAAATATATTTAGTCGATTCTGTTGAAATTTGGCAGTATTATTTGTTGTATTAAGAGGTTAATTTGGCCTTAGATAGGTTTAAATTAATAGGTCCAAAGGCGTACCGGGGGGCACCTTGGCGAATATCATTTGCAAAAAAATGTACTACGCCGCTGCATTTTTTGTAGCTTTAATATTTGTTGTTTGATTAAGCATCTAAAAATAATGGGTGATTTTTTTGCTAGTATCTTTTTGGCAACACTGTTTTTGACAGATGACGCGTGAATCGTGTCTTGTGTCATTGTCAAACTTGTTCAGTTTGGTCTATAATTTAACCATGAATCGACTGACGAACGAACAACGCTTGCAAATTATTGAATTTTACTATCAAAATTCATGCTCGGTCAAGAGAGTGCATCGAGCACTGCTTCCAATTTATGAGGCAATTTGGTCGGCCTACTGACGGAGCTATTCGGAAGCTTGTGACTAAATTTCGAACCCAGTTTACATTATTGGACATTAAACCACCAATACGCAGACGTAGAGTGAGGACTGAAGAAAATATTGCGGTTTCTTCATTTTTAGAGGCGTCATTCAGTATTTGAATGAACATCATCCAAATCGCTGGATCGGTCGAAATGCTTCTGATCCTCGAAAATGGCCAGCAAGATCTCCTCACCTCAAGCCGATGGATTTCTGGTATTGGGGAGAACATAAAGGGATGGTTTATGGGGCTGGTCCAATAACAACTGAAGCACAACTTCGCGAAAAAAAATTAAAATGCAGCTGAAATAATAAATGGACAACTTCGAGGACCTAGAGTAACAAGAAACTGGGAAGCTTGTGTGGAAAGTGGAGGACGACATTTTGAACACCTTTAAATACAAAAAAAGTGCAGTGTGGATTTTAAAAAGAAAAACAATGTATGTACCAAAATTGTGTTCCCTATTTATAAGTGGATTTTTTTAATACGTTCAATCACAGCCGACGTCAACTACGAGCCGTGAACAAAGAAATCTGGCAACGTAGGTGGTAGTGTTACTCCCGCCGCTGCTTGCTGCATCAACGCAACTCGTGCTCAAAACGCTGAGAAAACATAACCTTTTCAATTTGTGATTTTGGAATCGCAGATGCTGCAATTAAGAGATAAGCTTGTTTTCTAAGCTTCAAAGTGTGTGTATGAGTTCAAAGTGATCGGTGACTATAATATATGAGAAATAGACTCCAGTTGTAGTGCTTCTGTGCTTTAAAAATAAACGAAGAAGTGTGACTGTGGCTGTTCGCGCCTCAGGACGCTAAGGATTTCAACTATTGAAAACGTGCAAATTCAGGTTGTATTTTTCAAATTTCAAATAAAAATGACATGGCTAAAACTGTTTTAGCCTTCATGCTATCTTCAGCATTTGGAAACATAACAGAAATTATCAAATTAATATAAGTTTCAAATCTAACAGGTGATGAAATGACACCTTTGGTTGAACATGTGATAAATTTAGTTCAAAAATGTGGATTTGAAGTTATTTGTGTTGTTACTGATAATCACCGAATTAATAGAGCAATGTTCAGCAAAATTAGCAAAGGATTCATCAGAAAATTATTTTATTCCAAATCCACATAATCCTGATAAGAACATATATTTAACTTATGATGTTGTGCATATTTTCAAGAGTATCAGAAATAATTGGATTAATTTAAAAAACCTAGACAAAACTCTTGTATATCCTAATTTTGACAATAATGATATTATTCAGTATGCTAAATTTGAAAACATTCGTGCTGTATATCAATTGGAAAAAGAAGCTGTAGTTAAGAAAGCATATAAATTAAATTATAAAACATTGCATCCAAATTCATTTGAAAGGCAAAATGTAAATTTTGTAGATAATTTATTCCATCACTCAACAATAGCTGCTATGAAAGAATTAAAGTTTAATGATGCTGCACACTTTTTGGAAATAATCAGGAATTGGTGGGTTATTGTCAGTAATACAAGTGTAATAAAAGGAGAATTGAAGCGAAACGAATTTTGTAAGCCTATTACCAATAAATATGATTATAGAGTACAATTTTAAAAAAAATCCTGATATGGTTAGAAAAATGGCATAATCTAGAGAATAATAATGGACACCTGACACCAGAAACGTATACAGCTCTATATCAAAGCACGCTGACTCTACTTAATATAATTGAATATTCATTTAATCAATTTGACATTGAGTATGTATTAAAATTCACCACTGATAATTTAGAAAAACGATTTGGCAATTATAGACTTTTATGTGGCTGCAATTACAATGTGTCATATGATGAAATTTTAAATGCTGAAAAGACAATACGGCTGAAGCATATTTTCAATGAAAAGAAATCGTCATTTTCTTTAGCAGAAATTAAAACAAGGTTCCAAAACTGCTTAGAAACTCAAGAAAATTTTGATTTCTTGGATACCAAACAAAATCCTGAAGTTTTGGATATATTCAATGAAGTATTTGAGACAAATTACTTAGCCAATTGTGACATAGAGGATAGTACTAAGACTTATCTATCCGGATATGCTTCACACGCTATCTCTAAAAACCTAAACTGCGAGATATGCAAATCGCTAATAGTTAAAGAAAAAGGTTCATTAACAACAAATGTTTATTTTGATCATTTGCAAAGAGGAGGACTGTCAATTCCAACCGGTTATGTACCAATCATATTCTACCATATGTATGCCATTTTTGAATCTATTATTAATGTAGATAGATTGGAAATTTTCTTCTTGAAAAGCAATAATCAAAAATTTATTTTGTGTCAGTTAACCTTGCTCAGCATTCAGTCTGACTTTATATACAGTGAATTTTCTTTAACTTGCATCTGTGGCCGCAATTATGCAGATATATTTTATCTAAGCTTTGTCTATTTTTTCAAACATAATTTTGGATGATTATGTAAAATTGAAAAATAACAGTAAAACTGAAAGTAAATGTATTAAAAACAAACAGGTAACTCCACATTTCCAAGCTGGGCCTGTTCGAACACAGTGTGCTGACACCAAAAAACGTAAACTAAATACTTTTAATTAGGTTAACTGCATTAGCGACTCATATATATCACGATTATTTCGTATTTTTAAATTTTTTTCCGAGCGCGGTGTTGCCTTTCTTTCATCACGGCTCGTAGTTGACGTCGGCTGTGGTTCAATAAACTTTCACACACCAGGTGAAGAGCTGAGACAGTTAGTGGTAAGTCCGATTTTTTAATTGTTTGCATTTTACACTATCAAATAATGAAATAATACCTGAGAGCCAAAAATAACAAACACCATCTTTACTTACACTGCGTTCCGTCGTAATTTGCGTCTGGCATTGCGGCGTTGTCCGATTTTATTTTACTCTTAAGTCACTTTTCTCTAAAAAATGCCGTTTTGACCCCCATGTTATATGAAACTTTTTGCTTCTTTAAGAGACCCATTTAAATAATGACTATCATAACGTTTACACCCTGAATTCAGTTTTCATTAAAACGCGATTTTTGTTGCTTTATGCGGTCCCGTTGGAAATTTCACTGTATTTCGATAATTAGTGAAAAAACGTCAAAACCTACATACCTTAACAATTTGTAATTGTTGCTTAGACATAGCGCAATCCAACTCTTTGACGAACTCGTCCTTATCGATTCGATCCTGGTCGAGTTTTTGTATCAAGAGGTTCTGTTCCCGAATCGTCGTCTCGAGAGCGCCGAGACGCAAGTTGAGCGCCTGCAGTTGGCTCGTACTTTCCGCAGATTGCAGCCTCAACTCCTTATAGATCCTGTCCTCTTTAATCTCGTTTTCTTTCACGACCGGTATCTTGGGCCACACCAATTCCGTCTGATCTTGGTACGCTAAGCTATTTTTATCCTTATAGTCTTTCTGAGGTTCTTCTTGGGCATCTTGGATTTTGGTCAGATTATCGAAATAATCCTGATTGCTATACGTCGAATTGTTGCACGACAGGATCTCTTGCACCTCCCTGCTAGGGCTCGAGCCGCCGCTCGCGAAATTATTCTCTTTCTGCGGCCGCTGGAAATCGATCAGGTCGATGTTGTCGTTGCCGTCACTTTTACTTTTCGAGTTTGAGCTGTCGTTTCTCGCGCTCTTCGGCCTCTCGCTATTCGGAGTCGTGAAGTCGTCCGGCGTCATCAACGCCAGATTCGAGTTGCTGTGTTGCTGAATCAGCAACGTAACCGACTCCTGCAGATCGTCCAGCTTCGGAACTTTCTCCTTTTCGGCGGATTTGTTTTGTATTTCGTCGGAAACGTTCGCCGCACTGTACATTATCGTTTCCGGGTGAAAGACGATGTTGCACTCCTGAAACTTCTTCGGTTGAATGACGAGCATTTTTAAAGAAGTGACGGCTATTTCCGCACCCTCGTCGTAATCGTCTGGGTCTTGGTACAAGTCTTCATTGCTGTTGTTGTAGAGTATCGGTACGTTTTTCGTGCAAGCCTCGAGGATATGGACGCTAAGAAAAGCCGCAGGGAGCAGAAATTGCGAAAGCATCGTCACAAATACAGTCTGTTCTTTGTCGTTTCTTTTTAGTTCGAGTAAATATAAGACCTACAACAAAAAAAAGCATTTCATTAATGGTTAAATATACTAAATGACATAGAAAATGACATGATAATGCAATGAAACAAATGGAAGCAACACAGAAAAATCATTGAATATTCAGTAACCATGTTCATATGTCACTCAGTATATGTTTCCGTATTAATTTTCCAGATGAAGCACGCGATCGCGAAGTATGGTAGTGACACGACGACACTTCACATAATAAAACATGATATACTTACGCAGTTGTTAATATCAGACACTACAAGATACTGGCCAGTATAGTCAATGGACAGGTTCAAATACAGAGCGGTTATCAGATTTGAAGGATCAGACTTGAAATGTATGGTCTGGAGGCAAACCCAACTCTCGCAGGACCACAACTTTATTTCCGAGTTGTTATTTGCACCGGTAATCGCAAACTTCCAACACCTACAAGTATTTTTAGGCTTCAAAGGGGCATTTGAGAGTATAGATAGGGAAAAATTGTTAATGAAATTACATCACTATGGTTTTAAAGGATGGGTATTATTTTACAAAATTATTTAATAAATAGAAGTATAAAGTTGGAAATATCATGTCAAACGTTCAAAATATACGAGGGATGTCTTTTAAGTTTTGCATATGGAAATTAAACAACACGGTAGGAAGTTTTAAATGACTTTATTGTTCTTCGAAGTATTCTCCACGCATCTGCAGGCGCTCGAACCAATTTTCGAAGCACTTATTCCACTCGCTTGCTGGCACATACAAAACGGTCCACGTTTGAATTCTCCATACGAACGGGAAATTGTCGACTGATGTGGCGCTTCGTTGCCGAAAACAGACAGAAAATGTTCTCGGTTGAGTTCCATTTTTCTAATGACTTGGTGGCACTTAAAAATTCACTGTACTGAGAACACTGCACGTATTGTTGTGAAACTTTGAATTTAAGTTTACTAAAGAGTGACGTTAAGATTCAGTACTGACGTTCGATCCGCGCGGCCTACTATGTTTCTATATGCAAAACTTAAAAGACATCCCTCGTATCAGTAGGGGTGCCACAGGGAAGTAAATTAGGACCTTTACTATTTATTATTTATATAAATGATATCTCTGACACTGCAAAATTCAAACATTTGCTGACGATACATTGATAGATGTAGCACATAAACATTTGGACACTGCTTTAGAACTGTTAAATAGTGATGATAAAAAAATGAATTGGTTAAATGTTGATAAATTCAAACTAAACATTAATAAAACAAAATGTATGTCAATAGGGAAGCACTTAGGTGATAATACAATTATTCTTATGATTAATAATGAAAAAAATGAAGTAGTCAAATGATTCAAATATTTGGGTATACAGAAAATAAAAACAGACGGAGATATTTTATAGGGTGATTCCTTGTTAAAAAATGAGATACTCAAAATGCATAGTGATGTATTTTTAATAGACAAAAATGTACAATTATAAAAACTAATTAAAAAAAATGTGTAAACAAATAATTAAATAATAAATGAATAAATCTTCAACAAACAAACAAATACAGCAGATGCTCGATAACGTAAACACGGGATAATGAAAACTTGCGCTAATGTAAACACAAACTTCGTTCTATGGGATCAAACGGAACGCGCGATAACGTAAACAATGTGTACGCTCGATAACGTAAACAACTCTCGGCGCACGGAAACAGCGCGACGGTAAAATGCGATGATTTATGTCGGGCGTCGGGGAGTCCCCGATTTATGATGTAGAGTGTAGGGGATTCACCTCCGCGATAAAATACGACAAACTCGGTCAGTCGTATGATCGTTTAGGATACGTTTATACGTACGTATGTATTTCATTTTTGAACTTAAGTGAATACATTGCGCGCGTTAATATATTTTACGACTATGGCATCCACATCCTATAAAAGAAAGTGTTTAAAGTTGAGTGAGAAAGTGAAAATCATAGACGAAGTTGCACTAGGTGCGGGTGTGACACAGTTAGCAAAAAATATGGAGTATAGAAAGCAACAATCTGTCAAATTAAGCGTATGAAAACTCAAATTTTACAAAGAATGTGCAATACATTTGGAGGTCCGGGAAAAAGAAAAATTTAAAAAAATGCGAAGGCACCTAAAATGGAAAATTCCCTGTATAAGTGGTTTTTAAAACAACGGGAAAATCATGTCCCAGTTAGTGGCGAAGTACTTAAACAGAGAGTGAGACTGTTAAATGAAAAACTGAAAGAAACTGTAAATTTCGTAGCTAGTGATGGCTGACTACAACGATTCAAAACAAGATATGGAATTCGACTGCTGTCTATATCTGGTGAAAAATTATCAGCACAACCACAATTAGTGCAACCATTCAAAGAAAAATTGATGAAAACAATTACCGAGCTAGATTTAAGAATGGAACAAATTTACAATGCAGATGAAAGTGGCCTTTATTGGAAAATGTTACCAGAGAAAATCTATGCTGCGTCATTTGAAAAATCTGCCCCGGGAAGAAAGCCGGAGAAACAACGAATAACGTTTCTAGCCTGCACTAATGCTAATGGTTCACACAAAATAAAGCCACTGGTAATTGGGAAAGCAAAAAATCCGCGCTCATTTAAAAATGTTAATATCCCTGTTGATTATGACTGTTCAAAAACCGCTTGGATGACTAGCAGTATATTCCAGAAATGGTTCCACAGGTGCTTTGTCCCTCAGGTATGACAATCAATTATCACAAATGCTCTATTCATAATTTGAAGATGCGTTTTCAATTTGTAGGTAAAAGGTTTCCTAAAACAACAGAAGCTTCCAATAAAAGCGTTGTTACTATTGGATAATGCACCAAGTCATCCTCCCGAGCAACAACTGAGGAGCAGGGATGGGTCAATTTTCGTCATGTACATGCCGCCCAACGTAACACCGTTAATTCAACCGATGGACCAGAATATAATAAGACTCACCAAACTATACTATAGGAAGTTTCTACTTTCGTCTGTCTTATCAAAGAATCCTGAAAACTTATCTGAGGCTTTAAAAAAAGTAACATTACGAGAAGCTGTTTTAGATTTACATATGGCCTGGAATGAACTTAACCAGCAAACTATTCAAAAATGTTGGAACAACCTCTTTTGTACCAATAATGAAGATGGTGAAGAAGACGATGTCCCCTTAAGCGTAATTAGAGAACGTTTACGATCCAATAATGATAATGTTATTAGTGTGTCATTGGATGTTGTTGATTTATTGAAAACAGTGAATCCCAACATTGTTTGTACTCCTGCTGATATTAATTTATGGAACGAAGATAATCAGACGAATGATGCTGATAAGGAGGAGGATATGGACAGTGAGGATGATGAGAACGATCCCATTGAAGTCAGAAGTGTAGTGACTGACGCGCAAGCTATGCAAGTTTTTAACCAAGCTTTAGATTGGGCTGAAAGAAAAGAAGTTTCATACACGGATATTTTAGTTCGACAAAAATTGTTAATTATTTTTCTTCTAATTAAAAAAATACTTATCGCTGTTAGAATATTTGTTAATTTTGTTATAAATAGTATGTATTAAACGTTTCTTTTAATAAATCAAATATTCTATAAATCACGTTCGCTAATGTAAACATTTCGATAATGTGAACCACACTTGGATTAAATTAGTTTACATTATCGAGCGTCTGCTGTATGGACAGTAGAGCAAGAAAGGACTGCAGATATGTCTTATAAGAAATAATGTTTGCCTAAAAACCTTTAAATCATTGCAGAACAACTTACTCAGAGCTGTATTCCAGTACATTGTCAATAAATATTATAGATGATAAAGCTTCACCGCCGTGTGGCCTCCATTCATGTAGGCATTTCTGCTTCTCATCGTCAAGCATGTACAACTAAAAATAATTATTTTGTCTCAGCTTATTAAATTTACTATCAAAATAATGGTGAAGTTACCACATTATGAAATTACGAAAACATCTCATATTATTAAGGGGTTAGGTGGTAGAATAGATATAGTACCTAAATCTCACCTCCTATAATATGACGGCAAATAAAAAAGTCGTTAATTATCAGAATTATTATTGATTGCAGTTCTATACTATAACTATCTAAAACTGTAATGACTCATCGATGTTCACGTGAACATCACTTAACTACCAGTAGTCGGCTGTTCATAGGCGGGGTATGAATGTTTAACATGGGTGAACTAGATTTGTCACATGCTTAATAAAGAGTGGTTTGAAACATATTGTAAGTCAAAAATTTGGGAATTACCTTTATTCATCGTCGCTTCCACTTACATCTGACAGTAATAAACTGTCGCTATCGCTTTCCTCGTTGAAATTGACTATAACTGGCTCTATGATGGTGTCGATGTGGTGGTCAAGCTGCCACATTTTTGTTTCTTCCATCACAACATGGCGGATAGCATTCTGCCAAGCTACGGGCGTTAGCTGTATGGAAGTCTCAAGTAAAACCTTAACGTCTGGTAATTTGAAGGTTGTGTTATGGCGCGCAATATAACCCTTCACTTGAGCCCAGATGAGCTCTATTGGGTTCAGTTCACAGTGATAGGGCGGTAACCGCAGCACAGTGACACCACATTGACGGGCCATCTCATCAGTCACGTAACTAATGTTCGCAGGTTTGTGCTGTTTAATTTTTTCATACAATTCCGCTTTCACACATGAATCGTCAAACGGGATTCCTTTTTCGCGCAACCATTGCTGCATGTCACTTTTTCGAGATCCCATAGTCGGTACACGTTCGGCTCGACGACTATGGTAGGAAGCATTATCCATGACGATCACAGAGTTGGGCTCAACTCGCTGAAGTACCCCTTGAAACCAGCTCTCGAAGCGCTGGCATTCATTTCGTCATGGTAATCACCTCCTTTCTTAGAGACGAAAATCAAGTCACACTCTTCTAAAAAGCCACTATCGCTACCAATATGAGTTACGATCAATCTTTGACCTTTCCCTGACGGTCCACGAAGACCTGTTGACAAACCTTCAATGCTTGCTTGTCGGTTACTCACTACGTTTTTGTCTATCCAGGTTTTTTTAACTGTGTGATCTGCATTTACCCATGTCTCGTCCAAATAATAGATTTTTCTGCTTTGTCGCCTATATTCAATCATTTCGCGTAGATATTTTCGACGCCAGGCGACTATTTCAGGTCTCTCTATCAATACTGACTTCCGATTACGCGTTTCGTAACGAAAATTAATTTCGTGCAGGGATTTCCTCATTACCTCGACGCTCATTTGGGGTATAATTTCATTTTCCTTGATCGCTGCATGTACAGCCTTGAGGGTTGGTATCTCATTCCTAAAGAAGAATGAATGTACGGTTCACCTTAACGCCATTTTGCTATCGTCATCCAATTTAACGGCCTTTCGTCCCTTCAAATTAAACTTTGGATCGGTAGTAGCTCCAGTTTTCTTCTTTTCATGCACCACCCTGCGAATGGTCCACTCTGGAACGCCCGTCATACTTTCACAACGCGCGAATGCATCTCCCTGCGACATAGTTCTGTTCAGATAATTGAACACGTTGAGCACGATTTCTTTCGCGTCCCTCTTCAGTGCTTTACGAAGCCGTCTACTTGTTCCCTGGCTTTCAGTACTTCCACTCGTGCCATTTGTACTCTCCATGGTTAAGTATAACCAAAACAGTAACCACAGAAACCACAACAATTCTTATAAAAACACACAATATGCGATCGCTCAACGAAACACGTTCCAATGCGTTGCCGACGCCTATGAGTCTGCCGGTCGAGGCGCGTCTTTGATTTCATTGGTTCTACCGGCGGAGAACAATCAGCCATTATTTCCATCTCTGTCTGTGCTGTTGACCACCGCAAAGCCACACAAACGACATATGTCGTACGCTATACGGCTGTACTGGAAGGAAGCCGGGATCGAGCTCTGATCACGTGTTGATCACGCGTATGAGTCATTACAATTTTAAATAGTTGTAGTATAGAAAGAGTTCTGATTTCGTGCATTAGATTCCGTGATTTCAAGCCGAATTGGCTTCTGGTAGTTCAGACCACTTTGATTTACGTAAAACCCTGAACGAAGCTAATGTCACACCTACGCGTAGTTTAATACACAACTGTGGGTATGGTTGACCCAAGTAAAAAAAAGAGCAATTATAAAATAAAATACCTGGAAAAATTTTACATAGCCGTCAGTTGATGCGATAGCGAGAGCTGTACCATCGGAAGAAAATGATGCATCTATTACTTCGGCAGTGTGCGGGATACGAATGTACCCTTCATAGGTATCGTTTGGATCAAGAGTGTTTCCTTTACCATATTTTGCATTTAGCATTGTCACATTGAAAACTTCAGCTGGAAGAAAATAGTTTCAGGTAACGGTTTTACATATATTTTTCACTTGGAGAATTTTGCATTTTTAGTAGTAGTAGTAGTAGAAAGATTTATTTAGCACATTTGGCTACATAAACAGAATAATTGTAAACAACTTAGAACTAGTAAATTCAAGCCATATGGTGTATGATGTAAATGCTGGGCAACCTATAATTGTAGATTTAACAAGTGATTTCTCAATTTTACTTTAAATTTTGTCAAAGTTTTCTGGTCTTTTATCTCCGAGTATAATTTATTATATTCAATCAACCCTTGATGGAATACAGATTTGTAGCATGTTATACTTTTTGGTCATTAAATGGAAGTCATCTTTATTTCTGGTATTATGTAAATGATGGTCGACATTTAATGATGTTAAATTAGTTAGACTTGATGGAAATATATTATTTTTTACTTTATAAATGAATATCATTACAAGATATTTGATAAAAATTTTTACATAGAGCCATTTTAATTTGCTAAGCATTTGCCTAATTGGAGTATATTTATCTTTATTTAGTATTATTCTCATGCACTTATTTTGTAAAATTTGCAGTCTTTCAAAAATGGAATTATTTGCTAAATATAGAATAGTCGAACAGTACAAGAAATTTGGAAGAATGATGGTATTATAGATAATTGTTCTGCTATATGAACTCAGACATCCAGAAACTCTCGATAAATATCCCACTTTACTACTAATCTTATTTATAACTTTTTCATAATGAATATCAAAAATTAATCGAGAGTCAACAAAAACCCCCAGGTATTTAAAATTTTCTACGAATTCAATATCTTCACCATCAATATTCAGTTGAACATTTGTACATTGTTTTTTTCCGATTAACAAGGCTTTCGTTTTACTTGCATTTAATTTTAGTCTGTTAGATGCTAACCATTTTGAGACAAGCTTCAAGTCTTCATTTATATAAGAGATACCAGACTGAATATTTTTAGTACTTATATAAATCATAGTGTCATCGGCGAAAATCTACAACAAATCTGTATTCCATCAAGGGTTGATTGAATATAATAAATTATACTCGGAAATAAAAGACCAGAAAACTTTGACAAAATTTAAAGTGAAATTGAGAAATCACTTGTCAAATCTACAATTATAGGTTGCCCAGCATTTGCATCATACACCATATGGCTTGAACTCTGAGTTCTAAGTTGTTTACAATTATTCTGTTTATGTAGCCAAATGTGCTAAATAAATCTTTCTACTACTACTACTAAATGTTTATTCTGGAATGTGTTTGCACAGGTCACTTAGAGTAGAACATAACAGAGTAATCAAAAACAAGAAACAATAATAAGACAAACGTAAAACACAAAGTGGCAATAAAATGTAAAAAAAACTTGATAAAACTTAGTGTAAAATTTAGATTGAACAATAAGATAATTCGGTTAAAAAATATGAAATAATAATTTTGTAATGTTTGTACTCAAAAGTCCTTATGTAATACAAAAATAACAGATACACAAAAAACACAAACGAAGACAAAGTAATAAAACAAATAGTCAACAATTATGGAACAAAGTCGGTAAAATCATTATTTAAAAACTCATCTATGCTGTAAAAAGCTTTCGTCACTAGATATATCTTTTCACAGTTGCTGTAAAAATAGGTTGAGTTAAGTGTTAAAAAACCTGGGACAACGCATTAAAAAATTTCACGCCGAAATAATTACTTCCGTGTCTAGTTTTTGATAGTCTCGTGTACTCTGGTATTAATTCATTGTTGAACCTAGTGTTATATTTGTGAATCTCTTTCGGAGTTCTGTAATCATCGTATATTTTTGGATCTTTGATAAAGAGGTGATGTGTGATTCCCAAGTTAAGCTTGCATCAATAATCACTCCAAGACATTTCACGGGTTCTACTAAATGACTTCTATGTGGACGAGTACTGAGTAGAAGAGATTGAGTTTTCGCTATGCTGATTGACAAACTGTTGGCCTTAAACCAGTTTTTAATTGTCAATGCTGCTGAGAATCGAGTTATACCTAGTCAAAGTTACTATTGGAGGATATTGATGTCGTGTCATCCGCAAATAATATATATTTGGCAGATCATTGATGTAAATCAAAAAAAGAATCGGTCCAAGACACTTCCTTGGGGAACTCCGTGCTTAATATGTACATTGTTAGATCAACAATTTTGAAATCTAATATACAGTCTTCTGTCTGATAAATAAGATGCAATTAAGGACAGGCTGCTATTAGCTAAAACCCTATAGCGACAACTTTTGAATCAAAATGTGATCTTGGACACAATCAAATGCTTTTGTAAGATCATAGAAGTTAGTGGGAGCAAACATGTTATCTTCCAGACATTCATTGAAGAAACTAATAAAATCGTTTATTGCTGCTTTCGTTTCTGTATGGTATCCAAACTGGTTGTTACAGAATAAATTGTTACCTTCGAAGTATTCACATTCACAGTATTCTTCAGAAGTGTTTAGAAAATTTTTGCTATAATTGGTATTATAGAAATGGGTCTGAAATTACATGGATCATTCTCACATCCTTTCTTGAAGAGTGGCAGAATCTTTGCAAGTTTTAATAAGACAGGAAAGAAATTATTTACTATACACATGTTTATCAATTTTGTTATAGGATATACTATCAAGTTATTCAAGGTCTTCATAAATTTAACGCCGATGTCATAAGGATCTTTACTTTTAAAATTCTTTAAGTTTTTGATTGTGTCTCGAACATCGTTGAATGAAACAGTTCGAAAGTTGAAATGTAGTGTATCAATAGTATGTATAAAATCTTTGAATTTCGACTGGGCATCTGGAATTTCAGCAATGCTGACAAATGGGATTTTGATGAGTGCACACCATTGGCTTTAATCACATTCCACATAGCTGCTTATTTATTTGAAGCTCTACATATATATTTATCATGGTGGGTGAATTAAATTGAGTTTCTGTTGTTCTTCACAAACTAAATTTATTGGGGTATTTGCCCAAAAACGTCCATGTCTGCCATTTTATCAAGACAATGATATTATATTGCTGAGCATGATCAACTGTGTCAAATGACAAAAGTCAAGATCCGCACATAAAAAGATATACCTTTGCACATATTGTAATACCTGTATTTCCGTTGAGAACAACAAACATTTTTTCAGGATCATCGCTAGAGTCAGCGTCTTCTTCATAGCTTGGCAGGAACGGGCACCAGATCAGTCTGAAGTTTGCTTTACCCCTGTTAGGTGACTGATGAAACACGTGCAAGAGCAAAGAGAATCTGATACACCATTAAAGAAATATAGTAACTTGTGTGCTTAGGTGATATAACATTATTTAGAAAAGGATACGTTATACTATGGGGACCATCTTCAATTTGATACACCAGTATGTTCCCTTCACTGTCAACACATCCCAAAATTATTTCTTCTCTAGAAAAGGCAAACGCCAAATCCTTGATATCTTCTTTGAGATTTTTTATCAGGGTTCTCACACCAGTTTCCTGGTTTGTAATTCTGACCATTCCTCCATCTTGCCTAAATAAATCATACCAATAAAAAGTGGCAATAGAGTATACTTTATCTGAAGTCACTTGAAACACTGTGAAATACCGGGTGCGTTTTATGTATCTATATTTAACGCGCTCTGTTGCTGCAAAAATCGCCAAATTTCGCAGCAAAGGCAGTTTCACCGGTCCACGTGGAGTAAAGCACGCCTATGCGTGGACATAGCCAATGAAAAAGCGTGTATTTCAGAGCTCCGAACAAGTGCAGGTGGCTACTGAAAATTGAAACAGTTTAGCCAGTGCCGTGTAGCGGTGAATAAACGTGTTTTCTTTAGTCTGTCCATGTTTTTTCATAGATTTTATTAGTTTGTGTATTTTTGACTTTTGAATACTCAGTTTACTTGTTGATTTAATTGTTGTGTTGATTGTTCTTGTGTGTCCTAAATATGGCTCTTTGGAGACCTTGGGAAAATGCTCCAAGCCACGAGGAGATGGTTGATGAACCTGTGCAGGCAGAATTCTTTCATAAAGATTTAGAGGAACAGACCCAAAGAGTAATTCTAAATATGTATGACTGTCTGAAAAACGAAAATCCAGATTCCTCGCAAAATCAAATTTTAACAGAATTTGTATCCTGACAAAAATCAGTCAGTCTACCATTTATCGGGTTATAAAAAGGGGAGATGTAGTCAACCATTCCTTCCACAGAAAGCGCATAGGGCAAAAATTAAAAAGAATAGACGTGGGTTTTCAGGAAGATATTCGTCGTATAATATACGGATTTTATAAAGAAAATTTGATGCCCACGTTGGAAATGATACGGGATAAATTAAAAGATTATCCTGAAGATTTTTATAATTACAAATGCTTAGACTCACTGCACTGTATTGTAAAACTGTGTGGTTTTCAATACAAAAAATTAGATAAAAGAATGGTGATTATGGAGTCGTCTCGAATCGTTGAATTGCGCCAAGAATTTTTGCACAAAGTTAAAAATCTATAGAGAGCAGAAAAGAAATCTGATTTACCTGGATGAAACGTGGTATGATACCCATGATGTGCAGTACGGCTGGGTTGACGACAGCAACAAGTGCATTTTAAATGCACCATGCAACCTTGGAAAACGAATCATTATTCTCCATGCTGGCAGTGAAAATGGATTTATACCTAATGCCTTGCTGTTATCTGCCAAAAATATCAAAGAATCATGTGCCGACTATCATGAGGACATGACCTCCGACTTATTTGAAAAGTGGATAGAGCAGCAGTTAATACCAAACATTTCCCCAAATTCAGTGATTATTATGGACAATGCGCCATACCATTCCCGACAGAAAAACAAAATTCCGAATACAGGCACAAAAAACAAGACATTATTGATTTTATGAAGGATAAGGGAATGGAAATACCACAAAAATCAACCAAAGCCATATTATTGGATCTTATTAAAAGACAAAAATTTGAAAAAGAGTATGTTGTTGACAATCTGCTTCAGCAAAATGGCCATGAAGTATTACGTCTACCTCCCTATTACTGCATTTTTAACCCGATTGAGTTGGTCTGGGCTGCTTTAAAAAAAAAGTAAGAAAACATAATCAGTCCCCTCAATTAAGTGAATCCCTATTGGCCACAATAAGATATGCAGTATCTCATATTGCTGCCACAGACCTATGGAAGCAGTGTTCTAGGCATATTATTGAAAAAGAAAATGAATATTGTGTTTTGCCTCCTGTAAATCCCGTTGTAATTCCTCTACAAGATGACTCTAGCGACAGCTCTGAAGGCGAGATGAGTTTTGTCTAATATTTAAAGGCACATCTTCCAGTAAACCAGGCAAATTGTGTTGCAAGAAATCAAAATAATTTTCAACAGTTAAGCGATTTGGTAATTCAAAAGGCCCCACTAAAATTCCATTAACAATTCCCGCCCACAGGTTGATTGGTTCAAATCGCTGTTGAAAATTGGTTTCCCTTATTTCATGGGGATTTTCAATAGCCCAAACGTGAGAATTACGTGAATTAATAATTCCGTTTCTAGTAAAGAGGGCTTCATCACTCACTAAAATTTGATTTAAAAAATTGTCATCATTTTGATGTTTATTTAAAAGCCAATTGCAAAAGTCAACCCTTTGTTCATGATCTTCCGGTTGTAAGGCCTGCACTTTTTGTATGTGAAACGGATAGAACTGATTTTCACGTAGAGTTTTCCAAGTTTTATACTGACTAATCGCCAATTGAGTTGAAATTTGTCGGGTGCTTACTGTTGGATCATCACTTACTAATTCTAAAATTTAGATATAAACACCTATAATGTAAGTCTTTATATACCTACCTGCTATGTAAATATTTGCCTATGTCAAACGTTGGAATTCTGTAATTTTTCCATTTCTTAACTTTCAGTCAACATAGATTAAACTCCCAATATAAGTATTTTTTATCCCAAATCAAAAAAATAAGAAGATAGTAAAATCCATTTATTGTGATATAAAAACATTATTATTATCGTTCTAAATAAATGACCGCACGCCTATGATACGTCATGAAATTACAAAGGACGCGCCGACCAAAGGTTTTTATGCTATTTCAAGTGACTTCAGATAAAGTATACATGGGTTTGATTTGGTGAGATACTGAAGACCGACAAAGTGTTTTTTCATGTGTGTGACTGGAGCAACCTAAATAAAAGAATTGTGAAAAAGACTATATAGTGCAGCATAAGCTCTCACAAATCTGATTTCCATCAATTATTCCCAAGGTTTACGAAATTTTCAATCAAACAACATCTAGTAGACTAGACTAAATACTACAAGCAGCCTTTACCTTTCATGCAATACGCAATCACTTTACCGCCAATATGAGCGGCTACCAAATTTCCATGGTAATATCGAAATTCCCAATTGTAGTCAATTTTATCCGTGAGTTTCACTTTGGAACTACCATGACTGTGTTTTCCTTCCTTACAGTGGACTAATACAGTTTCTGCTTCAACTTTGGCACAAAACTCGGTTTCAGCACCACTATACTTACTAGAATAGAACAATCATTCATCAGCCGCTGTCTTGATTCGGGTCTAAAGGCTGTCGTCGGTTGGAATTTCTTCCTAATGTTACGCTACCATGAGTGGCAAGCTTCTTCAGCGGTCCTTCCATTTCCAATGCTGGATGTAGCCTGCAGAGAGAGAGATAGTCTACATCTAGCATCGGAAATGGAAGGACCTCTGAAGAAGCTTGCCACTCGTGCTAGCGAAACGGCCTTTAGACCCGAATCAAGATAGCAGTTTATCAACTGGCCGCGAAAGCCTTAACCAATTAATCATTCATCAGATTGAATATTTCGTTAAAACTATCCCTATACTTACATAGTTTGCACAGACCCAGACTTGGGTACTATCTCAGATGATGCCATTGCAACCTAGAAATGGCGAGGCAACATGTAGTTCATTGTTTACTCCTATTTCAAAATGTACCGTAGTATAATAGTAAAAAATACAACAGTTTACCTTAGCTTCTGAACCTTAGTGCAACAGCATTTACTTGGATACGGGAAACTGGAAGAGAAAGCACAACAATTTTCTTTTGGCTGTTAAAAATTCAACAAACTCAACTCCTGGATAACAAAAATTAGCCTGCTTTTAAGCACTTTTCGAAGCCGATCAGCAAAAATACCGCAAGAACACAATCACCCACAAATGACAAAAACAAAATCTCCCACGCTCCAAGCTTTCCTTCTTATCACAAAACACACTGACTTCTTATGCCAATCCATTCAGCTGTTCCGTGATAATGAGCACAGGGCTGCGTTCATAACTTCTAGTGTTACAGAGTGTACTTTGTAGTAGTGGTTTTGATTATCGTTACTTTCAAGTACTCGTTACTAATCGCTACTCTTCTACAAAGTAATCATTTATTGTATTCGTTACTTTGAATACTATGAGTAGTATGAGTATAACGATTTGTCAACGTGCGTCGTTCAATGGAACTGAATGTTGTAAGAAAATAGACAACCTTAACATTTGCAAAATGTTATAAGCATGCCTTATTCGAAACTGTCGTGTTTAATGCAAACATTGTATCTTCAAACTGTATGCTTATCAAGATGGGTTAATAAAGGATGGAGTGATATATGACTCATATGAGCCTACAAACTGAAAATACTTTGTATTCACTAGAAATGCTTAAAAACATGTCTTTTAGTCAGAAAGATGATCTGTATATGGGGTTAAGGAAATTCGGAATGGCATGTAACTTTTCGAAGCATTTCAATTAAACATATACCAGTATAAAAAATTCAACGAGGAGCTCAGTGTACACATACTATTGGTGGACATACTGTATTATAGTTTTTTTAGCAAAACTGCATGTAAACGCGAGTCAAATTAACATAACTTTTATTATTGTGCTTTTCCTGAACGCAACGGTGGTGATACCTTGTCGCTTTTCTGCCTCAAAATACTGCCGAACTTTGCTCCAATCAAATCGACCCTTTATTCCTTTTCAGATTCCCAAGACCATAACAATAAAAGCGAATTTATGTCACGGTGTAAATAGGTAAACTTCAGATTTAAAAACAATTACCAAACTCTGTCCTCCAATAAAAAAAAATGTTTCCAGGTTTCCATCCGAATGTGGGATGTCTGGCAACCCTGATGCATGAGCTGCAGTGCTATAGTCAAACCAGCGTTGCCACTCAATTATCAACGATTGTACGGATACCGGGCAGGGATACGGGATACAGAGTAATCAAAGTAATCATTTCGTCCTCGGATTGGTACTCGTTACTTTGGGTATCTATGAGTAACGAGTACTCGAGTATCGTATGATTACTTTTTCAACACCACTACTTTGTAGTATCTGTTCCATGTGTTCGGAAATAGAACAAAGTAATCCTTCGTCGAAAGTGTACTTTACTTCCTGCGCTTGGCTGCGTTCGTAAACTGTTACTCAGTGTACGTTGTACTACTCTGTAACAATTTTAGTGTTCCAAATTGTTTGACGTGCATGTTATTTGCGTTCGGAAATAGAACAAAGTAATCCTTCTGAAATGTCAAAAGTGTGCTTTACTTCCAGAGCTCAAAACCTTGGGAATAAGAGTTCTGTCACGCTTGATTATTTAATTTGGTTATCAAAAACTGTTAAAAACTGGCAGAATATATATTTATCATGACAAATGCTACTCCGTATCCCTAGCGTCTCTTACAATAATTACAATGGTCGCAAAAAACGTGGTTAGAAATTAGTGACATTCTGTAATAATTTAGGGGTTCTAAAAATAAGGTTTCACAGAATGTACGGTATTACATTGCCAAGTGATTTACAAACGCATCCCTTGAAACCTTGGTATTGAGACTGTTCTCAATTGTCATTCCTATGGTTCATTTCATTTGCTTATCAGAAAGTACTCAAACCTGGCAGAATATATAAGTTTTTCGCGACGTTCTAAAACTAAAGTTATCCCAGAGTAAAATTTCATCTGTCAATCTATATTCCATTACTGTGTACGGCACAGCTATTATATAAAAAACTAAAAAAAAAACGTTAAGCGAAATGTCATTTTGCAGACTAGGTAGTTTTTAGTGTGTAAATAGTTCATTCCATGTTTGCTTGCTATGATCGCTGTTCGCTGACGTTTAAGCAACACGGACAGCTAGAAAACGAGTTCACAACAAATGTACAATAGCTTGTGCTTAGTTAACATCTAAACCCTGCAAAATGTAACAAAAAAAACTACGAAATGTCAAAAAAACCGGCGGAATCTCACGTTTTAAGATATGTAATATCCGTGCGGTATTACATTACCAAGTGATTTACAAACGCACGCCTGGAGGTAGATCTTTCACAAGGCTGACGGCTGACAGGAATACCTGTCTCGTGTGTTTTCCCATCCTTTTTCCATCCTCCATGTTTTGTCATTTGACTTTGACAATCTGTATTTTTGACGTCTTGATGTCAAAAAAGTGGAGTAATTTTGGAATGTAATAGAAAATTGAATCTAATTATATTGTTTGAATTCTTGAGAGTATTTAATACTCATTAAGCACTCAATTTTACTTGGTGTTGTTTGTTTTGACTTAAACGAGGTTGGCAAAAAATGAGTTGAAATCGCGCTAAAATGTAGTGTCAGTGCAGAACTTCCAAGAGAGGCAGCTATTTACGTGTAAGTACTATTTTTTTGTTGTTGTGCCCATTGTTTATTTAGGTAGTTACAAAAAGGACAATCTACACAGTTTCATATCGTCTTCGTATGGTAATCTTATGTGTTAATTTGTCAGTATCAAATCATTGATACATTTCTGTATCGCAAGGCTTTACACTATTTTTTGGTCAATAATGCATTTTGTAAGTTGTTGTTTCTTCGGCGAGTTCATATTTATAATCATGCACATAAAGCAATAAAAGCTATTGCCAGTTTGTCACTGCAACTAGTTGAGGGTTAGTCTTATGTACGTACACGGAAGAAATAAGACAAGTGTTTCTTACTAGCACATGATCTGTTGTTGTCAGACAGTAAGCTTAAAGGCTTCAAAACAATTGAAGATAGGTAATAGACTTTATTATACAAACGTTACTAAAAACTACATGGAAAATGTAAAAATTAAAAAAATGGGGCTTTCCATTTAGAAATCTAAAGTGAAACACAATATCTTATTTTTGGAACACTCTGTATTGTAAAAAAAATTGACGTGTCCCAGCATTTTTCCCAAAATATACCAGGAGAGTCACAAACCTGGGTGCAACCTTTTGTTGAGTCACCATGTATATTGCTGGAATGTTACGTAAGAAACTTTGTTGGAACAAAGATGTTGTATGCCGGGAATTGATTATGTGCATATCTGTGATAGTTCTATTATTATATATAATTTTGTTAAAAATTATTTTTTCACATTGGTGCTCTGGCTTAAAATTGGTTAAAATTTTATGGATAAATGTCGAAAAATGTAACTTGTCCAACTGGTCAATACTTAGCCATCTCAACTCTACATATTTATCGGATTCACGGTCAACGTTTCTCATGCTGAATGTGAAGCAAAGTGACCTGCTCCAAACAGGGAGAATATATTATACTACAGTAGTTTTCCTCCTTTTGAAGGTTAGGTTAGCAGATCTCTGTTTGAATAAGGACTGTGTAAACGTGCATAGGTTTTTTGTTGTTCGTCAAACGTATAAATTAAGAACAAAAGAGGTTTCAGAATGGAATCCCGAGACATTCCTGAAGGTATGTGGGTAACATCAGATGTTATACCCGTCAAGTCCTGTTTTTAGATGGCTTTCAAAAAAATTGATCACAACCTCATCACAAACGACAGAACACGTAAAAGTTTATGATCTATCTTATCGAATGCTTAAGAGTAGTCGACTGATAACAGAGCCAAACTTATTTTTCTATCAAGAACACGAAGATGTCGCATAGGACTAATAAAGCCAATGTTGTAAAGTTTTCTAAATCCCGATTGATTAGGGTGCAATCATACGCAGTCAGTTTGCATGAAGGCATTTAAGAAATAGTAATATGTGTGCGTAACAAAAGTTCCATTATATTAGACACTGTTAAAACTAATTGATGTTAATTGCTGTTCACAGAGGGCCCCAGTTTTTAACGAGCCTTTACATTGTAGCTTTCTCTAGCTTCAACAATAGTTGCGTGTGAGGTAACATGTCACATTCATTATTATTTTTAACACGTTCCTTTTTTTAACATGGAATTCGGTATTATAACTGTTATTAAAAAGCAAACAATACGCAATCGATTACAATTTCCGAAACTTTTCGATTGTAAAATTTAATGAATGTTGGTACAGTAAACATACAGGGTGTTAACTAAGTATGTACCACAAATCTAACGGACGATTCGTTGAGTAATTTTAAGACCAAAAGTTCATGTAAACATAGGTCCGTAAATTTTTCGGTCTCAAGATACAGGGTGTTAAAATTGAATAAATGTTTTTTCGTAAATATATTAAATATCCATTCCCTAATTTTGTTGTGATTTGGCAGAGGTGTTTATGACGTCAAGGAACTAATTTAGCACTAACTTGATTAAATTTATTAAGTCCAGTGGCGTCTCTCTAATATTTGTGACAAAAAAATGTACGCCATTGACTTTGCGCAATTTTTATCAAGTTCTTTGGATTTAGCAAATAGAAATACAGCTTATTTGACTCTCGAATTTTTTTTTTCGAGAAAAAAGTCCACTTAACTGCATAGGTCCGTAAATTTTTCGGTCTCAAGATACAGGTGTTAAAATTGAAAAAATGTTTTTTCGTAAATATATTAAATATCCATTCCCTAATTTTGTTGTGATTTGGCAGAGGTGTTTATGACGTCAAGGAACTAATTTAGCACTAACTTGATTAAATTTATTAAGTCCAGTGGCGTCTCTCTAATATTTGTGACAAAAAAATGTACGCCATTGACTTTGCGCAATTTTTATCAAGTTCTTTCGATTTAGCAAATAGAAATACAGCTTATTTGACTCTCGAATTTTTTTTTTTTTGAGAAAAAAGTCCACTTAACTGCATATCCCTGGAAGGGGTATGCGGAAAAGTTTCTTTTGGAAATTATTTTTTTATAATTTTTTATTGCTATTACCCTTTGTCTTTTCCATTTTCCTTGTAGGTGTTAGCTGAATAATGAAGACAAGATGAGATATACCACTGTTTATGTTAATCTTTTTGTTTTTTATTTTTAGTGGTGTCATTGGCACTTCAAAATGAAATTGTTTTAGCGATAACTATTGATTATTGTCGCGAATATTTTACCAACGTATAGTCTTAAAGCAAGAAACAAAGAGTTTGTCGAAAAGTCTCGATATTTATC